TGTCGAAATCGAAATGTTTATCGACGTCATCATCGACACGGGGCACCCCACAACACTCCTCTCCTTTGATGAATTTACGCCTTCTCTGCTTCTGGAAAGAAATTTTAAAGAAGGAGGAGGAAGAAAAAACGGGGGGATCTGGCCGGTCTCCAAATCGACAAGAGCTTCGGAAGGGACTCCGGGGCGGTTTCGGTTGAGAAGAAACGTGAGACAAATTCGATTTGAGCGCCGCGGCGCCAAGCCCCACGACGTCGACAAGAGCACAGAGAAATAATGTAGTGGATGGAGACAGTTTATTATTCATGAGAGCCTTGATCCCGGGTGTCCGTGGCGCAGTAAAATGTTCTGATGAAGACGAGATTGATGACGCGAGTTTTATCGACAGCTTCGACTTGTTCTTCCGCACATTTGCCCGTTTTCTATTGCTCCCTTCCCTTCCAGTTGTCCTTTTTTGTTCTTCTCCTTCTTCTTCTCCTTCTTCCTCCTCCTTCTTCTTCTTGCCGCCATCCCCTTCCTTCTTCTTCTTCTTATTCTTCTTCTTCTTCTTCTTCTTCTTCTCGTCCGCTGGCTTGCTTCTGCCGCTGCCGCCACTCGAGTTACCCAATATGTTGTCGTCTCCCATGGACTCATCATTTTGCGTTGAAACGCCTTCTTCTTCTTATTTTTCTTCTTCTTCTTCTTCAGCTTCCCGTCCGCTTCTGCCGCTCTTACTCATTTCGGTCGAAAATGAGAAGTAGAGCAAAAAAGGACGCGCGCGGGACAAACCCATTGGTCCACCCATTTTTTTCCGGAACGAGAGAGAGACATCGCTTTTGACATTTCTTTATTTTTTACTGGATTCCATTTCGTTTTATTTTATTCGACCTAGTTAGGTGGACAAGGATCTTTGTGCAGGCATTAGTTCACATTCAGATTGCTCATTTCCCATTAAATTAGGTCGCTATCGTGATCTGGAGATCTGTGCAATTTTAAACGTTTCCAGCGAACAAACAGTTTTAACTGTCTGATTCATTTTTTGGTTTTCAAATTCAAATTCAGCTATTGATGAATTACTGTTACCACTACGACATCTATCGGTTATGGTATTTTTGGTTATGATTATGGTAACTTTTCCATACCAAATCAGATAAGTTTTTCATTCACAGAAGGATGAATATTGTCTGATTTTGATAATTTAAAAAGCCTGTAATAGAAAGGCGCCCATTGCGTTTAATTTTAAGCCAAATTTTCTCGGTTCCTGTCAAAAATATCAAAAAATTGTCAACTGATAAATTGTTTATCATAATATGAAAAATATTTTATCAGTTGAAACATTTTTGATATCTAGCATTGAAGCCAAAAAAACAGCTAAAACTTGACAGTGTGGGGTAGTTAATTTCAAACTTCTATAAACCACAGTAGGATTCCTTTTCCAAACTTCTGATATTTTCTATCTTCCGGCTGAAACAAGATTATTCTCATACCCGTGTTTTACTCCATCCGTAAATTCTTTCACTTCTTAGAATACCAAGTTTTCATTTTAGACAAAATTTCTAGACATAAAAAAGAAAATTCTAGAACCGAAAACTCCCTAAAGACTGTCACACCTGATTATTGTTTTCGCGTGTCTAGCTCGGTACCGCCTTAGTTCTAGAACTAGTAGTTATCGAGATTCTTCTTCTTCTAATCGAATTAGAGAGTCTAGAACTTTAGATGGTGATCACGTTGCTCTCTGATTTCTACCAGGTTTTTCATTTGGATGAGATGGGTTTTACTTTAGAATCTATACAAAAATTTGTATTCCTACAAAACCTGTCTGGAAATTCAAATGTTATGGTTGTGAAAAAAAATTCTATCAATTCCCTTCTCTTTTCCAACAATTTCTTACTCTTCAAATCCAATCCATCGTCCATCATCCATCCTCTCATCAGCATCATAGAATATGCGAGTTGAATTCAAGCTAATCATAATCCTCGAAAGGCCTGAATATTCCGCTCATTGTCATCCATCGTCTTTCTCCTCTTCTCCTTCTTCTTCTTCTTCTTCTTCTTTTTCTTCAATGAAGGCCTTCGACATATTCATTCAACAACCCTCTGAGTGACACAGACACGCACGTTTCTCGCGCTCTCTATTCAAATTCTGCCACAATGACAATGTCTTGACCGCGACTCAAATTTAGTTAATTTGTAAAATGAACTAGTCTTTGTTTGTTGCGTTCTTCGTTCTGACAGTGTTTCATAGAATTGTCACATGAAGAAGAATTAGTTCGGAAACAGTTATTCTTATTCGCCATGCTCTGAAAAGAACACCTTCCACACCTGGAACGAAACAGTGCCACCTGATTCAGGCTGACAAGGTGCCCCCCGGACCACGACGCGTGGAGCAGCCCGGCCCCCGTTGGCAATAGACAGAGAGACTCAGACTGAGTAGTACTGCTCCTGCTACTGCGGATCCTTCAGGCAAAGAGAGTCGGGAGCTTTTTCTGTGACAATTCTCCGTATAGCTTCCTCTCGCTCTCTCTCCCTCTTTTTTCATGCTGCATGTTTATGCCTGGGTGCGTCCCCTCCATCTCCTCTTTCTCTTCTTGTAAGCGTGTGCATCTCCTGCGAAGCGGTCGCGGTGCGGTCTCTCTCTTGCTTGATTTTGCCCCTTGGCAGCATGTCTGCCTCTCTCTCTCAACCCTTGCTTTTTGTCAGGGTGGAGCGACGGTTTGCCTTCGAGGAGTATTGATCCGCTCCCCTTTCTCTCACCCATCTCTTGTTCTTTTCCTCTCCGTCTCAACTGAGGGGCCCCCTCGACCGCCCTGGAATAGTGCGCTAAAGAGGATTCGGAAAAACGAGAGAAGCGAAGGAGATGAAGAGACTCAGGCAAGCAGCTTGTATTAGAGCCATGGCCCTCTTCCACTCTCCCTCGCTCCCCTGTCTCCTCCGATTGCTCTCCACGTCTGCGAAAGCAGCAGCAGCAAGAATAGTATTAGAAAAGAAGAGAAGCAGACTGCCTCTGGTTGTTGTATCTCGGGGCAGCTCACTGGCACACAGACACACACACACGCACACTCAATGTTCTTCTTCTCTTTCTTGTTCTTTTTGTCCTTCTACGTCGACGTCTTCTGCTTCTTCTGCTTCTTCTTCTACTTCTCCTTCTTCTTCTCTTTCGTCTTCTTCTTCTTCTTCTTCTTCTTCTTCTTCTTCTTCTTCTTCTTCTTCTTCTTCTTCTTCTGTGCTTCGTTTCGGCATTATCTGAATATGCGTGTAGTGTGTCTGTTTCTCTGGGCTGCCGCTTCGTCAGATCGACTGATTGCTTGACACAATCCGCTTATTTTTCCTTTTTTTCGTGCAGAACAAGAGAAGCTGAACGTTTCGAAACCCACTCGCCCCTTCCATTTCCTGTGCTCATCTTCTTGGTCTCCAGCCATTAAGCTGACGGCCTTGCCTGCCACGTCACATAAAACCATTAATCTTGGACGGCACCCTGTCTGGTTCTATTTTAGTTTTTAGCCTATTTAGGAATCAGAATGAACTATGTTTATTTTAACGTTTGTAATGTTACGGCTGATTCTTTTTCTCCATCAGGATAATCGGTCAATTCATTTAGGATATAAAAAGATAGATACATTTTGATATATGATGACACCTAGAATTAATCATTTACTTCTTATTTTAATAGATTCTCGATTCATAATCAGAAGTAATACCTTGAACTAATTAATCTTAACTTTCTACCAGTTTTCAAATGATTATATAGATCGATCCAGTTTTGAGCTACGACAAGCGTTGTTAGGTTACAGTATCGAAGGGTAATAACACCCAGAAATCACAATTGATTCTTAAACAACTACGAATATACTTAAGCTAATCAGAGCCTACCACGACCAAGCCGCGCCTTTTCCCCAGATAAATATATTAGCTTTTGTCACGTTGCGGCGTGCCTACTGTTCTAGGAGCTCACTCTTTTTCTTTTTGCCGAGGTGTTTGAACACGGGAAGCAATCTAATCTGTTACTCCCTCTCGGTGCCCTCTTTACCAATTTTCTCTCTTCTCATTCCTTCCACATGTGGTATTCAGTTTCTTCTCTTTTTTGTCATTGTTTTGCCCCCCTCTACCGCCATCAACACAGATCGACACTTTTACATTCCCGCCGCGTCCCTTTTTCATCCCGCTTGGTTTGTGTCTGCGCCTCTTGGCTTATATCACTCTCGTACCGTGTTCCATTCATAAATAGTCGTTTCGGTTTCATCGACAATCTATCGATTTTTTGTTGCTCAAAAGTTTTAACGAAAAAATCATCGATTTCGGTTTCCAGACCGTCATTCAGAATCTCTTCAAAATTCTTCTGGTCTCTCATAACCTTCGCCGAGATAAGGGGTCAGTGAAAAAGTGATTACTGATTCGAATACTTTCTGTTGTTTTTTATTGCTTGAAAATTTTTTTTGGCAAAATTGCTTGAAATTCTGAAAATAAAAAAAGTTGCATACCGTAGTTAGTGTGAACACAGCCCCGCGAAACTTCAGACCTCATTTTTTCCGTCCGCAAAAATTTTAACTAATAGCTCCAGATATTTTATTTAAAACAACAAATTTTCCCATTTATTTGATATCAACATCCAACTACTTCAAAAATCGCTGACATAAGCGCTCTCGTCGAATTTGAAACCACTCGTTGTCGGCGTTTGCTCATTGTGTTCCTGCCGGCGCCCCCTTCTTTTTTCTGGTCCCCGATTGTCTCGTTCCCTTCTTTCCGTCCTATTCCACTATATCCCGTTTTACTTATTTTGCGCATGTTCGATTTACTTCATTCATAATTTTCTTAACTGGAAACGGAACTTCCATATATCAGAGTAGTGCTACTGCATCAGTTATTTTTTTTTGCAGGGCAGTTGTCGAGTGCAAGAACACGCCACCAAGACGACGAAGAGAGCAGCGCCGCCGTCGAAACGCGAACATCGACCAGGAGCAGCATTAGCCGCAGCCGCATCCGTCGATACTTCCATCAGTACCATCCGGAGCACACGCCGCCTTCAAGATGAGCGAACTTGACCAACTTCGACAGGAGGCTGAACAGCTGAAGTCGCAGATTCGAGTGAGTATATCCCCCGCATTTCTCTTTAAACCCTAGTTCAAAAACCAGGTGTGTGTTTAAAGTAACCTCAAAAATCTCGTCCCATTTGCTAAGTGGTTTAGTATTCGTTGAAATATGAGAAATATACACATTTATATATTTATACACACATACATACACAAATTGTTGGTAATAAGTAAAGAAGCGGAGCGCTCTCCCGCCGTCGTCGCTATGTAGCGTTGTTTTTGCCGTACTTGGCGGACGAGAGATGGAGGGACGTGCTACTGCACTGGATGTGTATAACACGGACGTCCCCTTCTTGCTTTTTGCCGCGCGTCGTCCCTACCGCAGACGTCTTCTGCTTCTTCCTCTATCTCGCTGCAAAATATCGATCCGTATAAGACTGGTGATGGCGTAGAAGAAGTTGTTGCTCCACGCAGTCGGCGGCAGCGAGCCACTGGCCAATAGGGTCGCCCCGGTTGGTGGGGGGCATTGACGATAAATGTAGAGACGGACGAGAAGCTGGGGCAGAAGCAAGCGAGGAGAATAGATTGGCTGCCTAATGTGAGATTCTCGGCGTCTCAAGCAGTAGGATGCTATTTGCCTGCTTCTTTTCACGGGCCCGCCGAATGCTCTCAATTTCTGGCGAGCCACCGACTGGCCAGAGAGGAGAGAGAAAAAAGAGGGACTAACTCTCTTTTGCTGCGCGAGCTTCACTCCTTGAAGAGACGCAGAAAATGTCCCAGTGCGCCATTTTCCCTTGAGGGCTCTGTGCGCCGTCGTTGTCATCGCGCTCACTAGAATTGGTGGTGGCTCCTCGACCGAGGTTAGGCAGAGAGGCCCGAGAGATAGGAGTCCTTATGTATTAGATGCAGAGACTCACTACACGCACATGGATGTGCGCACCGAATGTTGCGCTAGCCACAAGCCTTCGAAGCTTCCAAAAGTGTGAGTTTGAGAGAATCCGGTGGAGCTCTCTCTCACTCCTCTCCACATATCTGTTCTGGAAGGGGTCGAAAAGGCTGCAAGAATAGAGGAAGTGCACTAAAGAATGATCAGGATGCATTTAATGAAAAGTGAAGAAAATGTTTGTCGAGTTTTGAACATTTATGACACGGAAAACCAAGAAAGATGGCACATAATCAGAACTGCAAACTTTGAATACAGAAAAAAGCAATAAACGAAAATGTTTGTTTCAAATCTAGATTCATTAGGCTTTAACATATTATCCAAAGAATTCGACAACTTCATAAGTTCAAAATGGGGGAAAGTATTTATTTTAACTAAATACACAAACGGTAAAAATCTTATACCAATATGTATCTGTGAATAGTTTTATATCTGGGCAGACGAAACTTGAAAATCTTTGTGACCTTGAAACTTGAAAGTAACAAATTCAATCAGTTGTTAGAGATAATCGATTACCAGGAACGATTTTTGAAAAAGCTGAAATTTTACCCTTTTCATTGCCAATGTCAATTTTTGTCAAGGCAGCACCTTTCAAAGAACATCTATAAACATAATGAAACACTTAATCAAACCAGAAATAAAAACAAAAAAACACTATGATCGTTTAACTATTTAGGAAGCCCGGAAATCAGCAAATGACACAACACTGGCTACCGTGGCTTCAAATCTGGAGCCGATTGGACGCATACAGATGAGGACGAGACGTACACTTAGGGGACATTTAGCCAAGGTGCGTTGTTTTTTCTAATTTCAGAAAGCAACTTCTATATTTTCAGATTTATGCCATGCATTGGGCTTCAGATAGTCGCAATTTGGTTTCTGCTTCACAAGATGGAAAGCTTATTGTGTGGGACTCGTACACCACCAACAAAGTGAGTTTTTTATCCAGTTAGGGGGCATGGGAAAGAAAAAATGGAAATTCTCAGCACCTTTTTGCAAATTTTCACAAATAATGTTCTAACTCCGTTTCTTGAGTTTTCTAAAAAAGCCCGAAGCAGTTTCGAATTGTTGAATTGATTTCAGGTCCATGCCATTCCCCTCCGATCATCCTGGGTGATGACTTGTGCATATGCGCCGTCAGGATCGTTTGTCGCTTGCGGAGGTATGTTCTGACTTCTGATCTTTCCCTTGACAAAAATTCAAATTTGTGGCTTAGTGGTGTCTGACTTCTATGGGCTGAGTGTTACTCATTGTATCCCTCAATCCTCCTTCTCTTTTTGATATCAACGATGGGTAATCTCAGAATTATAGTCGATGAGATTAAAAGGAGAGTAGAAGTTAAGGGCGTCACAGATTTATTAGCAAACTATAAAGAAAAAAGGTTCCAATAAAACTTTGAGGCTGCTACAAAACGAACATTAATCTAATTAATTTCAGGTCTCGATAATATTTGCTCAATTTACTCCCTGAAGACGCGTGAAGGAAACGTGCGGGTATCTCGCGAACTTCCAGGACATACTGGATACCTATCCTGCTGTCGGTTCCTCGATGATAACCAGATTGTTACTTCTTCCGGAGATATGACATGGTAGGTGTTCTTTCCTCTAAAAACAAAAAAAGTCTGAAATCAGACTCTGTATCCAGCCACAAGCACCTTTCTACTCGCGCGTAAATATGAAAAAGAGGTGTGCCTCAGCTGTGAGACTACATTGTTTTGATATCAGATTACTCGAGCACTGGTTCGAATATGTCACGTATCTAGTTCAGTTTCTAAATAACAAGATCAAACCCAATAATTTTGTGCTCTTTGAAGTACAATCCAAAGTTCAATAATATCTTTAGTTTTTCGGAAATTATATAGAAATCCTGTCTAACTAAAATCTAAAATAATTATCCTTTTTGAGAAAACCCTTTTTAAGTCATAGTTTTCTATTCGATGACAGCCGTCCATCGTTCGTAATTTGAGCATCGTCAGTAGAAAAGAAGCAGCATGGCTAGCCGGCCAGTGTCATAGAAGAAAAAGAAAAAGAAGAAGCAGTTGTAGATAGAGAAAATGAAAAGGTTGAGACGCGGTGCGCGCTGAAAGTGCGAAGACGCAGTCTCCTTCGGCCTAGTCGTCCGATTCGGTCTCAACAGTAGAAGCGCCTACATAGATGCACACATTGTGAGAGGAGAAAATTCGGATGTCGAATGTTGATGAGTTTGTTTTCAAACGTGTATGTCATTTCTCTAGAATTCTCTCATTTTGTTTCTTATAAATGGTGCACGGATTAGAAGACCAAAAATGTGCGAAATAACAATGTGAAAAACTACAGAAAATAGCTGAAGCAAGAAGGGAATGCAAGTCGATAAACTATTGATATTTCAGCGCTCTTTGGGACATTGAGACCGGACAGCAATGCACCGCCTTCACTGGACACACCGGAGACGTGATGTCCCTTTCCCTCTCTCCAGACTTCCGCACTTTCATCTCAGGAGCTTGCGATGCATCAGCCAAGCTGTGGGATATCAGAGACGGAATGTGCAAGCAGACCTTCCCAGGACACGAATCCGACATCAACGCCGTTGCTGTGAGTATTTTGGGCCTTTCAGACCTTCGGGTTGAAAAAAGAGATACATAGAGTGTCGGTATCATAATGGTTCTTTTCAGTTCTTCCCATCTGGAAACGCGTTCGCCACCGGATCTGATGACGCCACATGCCGGTTGTTTGATATCCGCGCTGATCAGGAACTTGCCATGTACTCTCACGATAACATCATTTGCGGTTTGTTTCTCATATCGTTGATTTCTGATGGATGTTTAATTTTCTGTTTTGCAGGAATTACCAGTGTTGCATTCTCAAAATCGGGTCGCTTGTTGTTCGCCGGATATGACGACTTCAACTGCAATGTATGGGATTCGATGCGACAGGAGAGAGCTGGTGAGTTTTATCGCACGAAAAAGTGCATTTTAAAAAAAAAACAGAGAAACTCAAATCGACAAATAGACCTTTAAAGGTGGGGGGACAGGAGATTTTACGGGGGATTTTTGGGGCCAGAGTATGCATTCTACCGTAACGGTGTACAACGCCTAATGTCACTCTGCGTACAGCTGTCGCCCTCGCCTTTATGTATGCAATCGGGCAGCGGCTTTCTCTTTGCACGCGTAGCTCAGTCGGTAGCGGCGCCGCACCTCCAACACTCGCCTCGACAAGTTCAACTCCTCGAGGAGCATATTTAAACGGAATTTCGACAACATTATTCTTCTCATGTCTCCCCACCTTTAAAACAATATATCATTTTCTATATCTGAATATCATTTTCTATTTTCCAGGAGTGCTCGCTGGACATGATAACCGAGTTTCGTGTCTAGGAGTGACTGAGGATGGCATGGCTGTGTGCACGGGATCGTGGGATTCGTTCCTCAAGATCTGGAACTAGACACCGAACCTCACCAAACACCAACGCCTTAACATACTCATCATTAGGCTTCTTAATGTGTCTTGTGTTTGATTATTCTTTTCTGAATTATGATGACACTTCATGGCTATCAACCCCTTTTTGTACTTCTATATATTCTTACCCCCATCCCAAATCCACCAATCTCTTGTTCTCACTCATCCTCGCTATCTGTCGGTTCCCGGCTCGTCCGGATCTCCTCTCCATCATCGCTTTTTTTTCGGTCCTTTCTAGTCCTCAGCCGTTTGTGCGTACATACTCGCCGCGTTCATTCGAACTTTTTTTCTGGTTCGAAAACTCGCGACTTTCTCATCTTTTTCTTCCCATATAACTTTCGTCCATTATTTTTTTTTCATTTTTCTTCTTCTGTGTTTGTCTATTTTTTGATATTGCTATGTAATTTCTGATTTTCTCAATCCTTTTATGTGAAAATTATAGAAACCACAATCCCCTTCTCACCACGCCCAATCCCCCACATTTTACACTCTCTCCCTTCCAAAGCTTTTCGATTCACCTGAAAATTCTCTTTTTCTCTCATTCTAGTTATATATACATGCGCTCTCTGTCCTCAAAATGTTACCCAACAAAAAACACGACTAACATGATATTCATGCTACGAAAAAAAAACAATTGTGCTCGGCGTTCAGAAATTTACTTTGATGGAGCCGCAGAGCACAATACTTTCAAATCACGACTAGAACGAGCTCGAAAAAATGCGTTCTAAATTTCGAAAACCCCATCAAGAAAAGCACAATATGAGATCCACTTTTTTATCTCAATTCAACAGGCTCGCTCCCCTATCCCAAAAATCGATATTCTCTACTCACCTAATTATTATTACGATAATTTAAGCTTTCTTTCTTTTTTCTATTTCTGGTATCATCTTCTCCTTCTCATCCTTCTTCTTCTTCTTCACATCCCTTTTCTCCACTAATTTAATTGACCCCCCCCCCTTTTCCCCCACCTCTTTCTGTGTCCCATCAATCCCTTTCCAGTCCCACTCTGTTCTTTTTTTTCATCTTTATCTCGGTACCCCTTTCCTTGAATATACTTTTTTTTCTTCTACCGTGATTTTGTAAGTTTCCGATCGCAAAATTTTTTGATAAAGTTCTCACACACATAACTCGGATAGCTGCCACTTCTTTTCCTCTTTCCCTCCCTTCTTCTTCCCCAAAAAAAAACAACAACAAAAAACTATTTAATCTTCCCAACCTTTTTTCTTGAAACATGAACACTCATCCACCCCAATTCTCTCCCTCCTCTCCCTGAACCCCCAAAAAATCCTTATTTTTCTTTTGATTCTTTTTTATTGTTTCAATTTCCAAATCTTATAAAATGCGTTTCTAAACAATTGCCTAGCCGAAGAAAAGAGTTAGTTTTGGAAAATATTTATTAGCGAAGAAAAAAGATACACCCTAGAAAGCCTTGTTGAACAGGAATGAATGAATAAGATGCTCGGCGACAGCTGGCTTATCAGTTGGCACCATGTGTCCAGCTCCACGAGCAGTGGCGAATGTAACTCGTCCTCCCTTGTATTGAGTGACGTATCCCCCGATTTGTCCTTGTACAGTGAAATGGGTCTTCTTCTTGGAGAGCTGGAAAATTTAGTATTGTTCATTGATAGGCCAAAAAAAGAAACGAACAGTAAGACCGAGCTTATCAGTGAATCTTTGTCCCATCAAGGCGTTGCAAGCCAAGTCGACGTCTCCGTTGTAAAGCATCATCTTCAAATTGTTGTTGTTAACAGCATTGAGAACACGGGAAGTCATGTCTCCATACTGTCTCTTGTATCCGTATGAAATGGCATTGCTGAAAATTGAAATATTATTCATACTTTTTAAGGAGAAAACATAAAGACTACTGTAGAACTAGAAGGTTGGGTGTACTTGAAATTATTTGCAAGCGCACCAAGTCAAATCCCCATACAAAATTTATAATCTCTTTTAGGTTCGGTTGTACTCAAAGTCTAGACGTATGACTACATTCCTATCCAACAAGCATTCCAATTTTAGAGAAATAAAGTCAGACTACCAAACTTCCAACTTTTAAGCATTTTATCTTGGTTCTTGTGATATATCAAAAAGTGGTCAACTAACAAAATGTTTACCATAATCTTAAAAATATTTTGTCAGTTGACCGCTTTTTGATATCTTTCACAGAAACTAAGATAAATTGCCTTAAAATTGAAAGTTGAGGCGTCTATAGGCTAGGTTGTTTACGGTAGCTTTTGAGTATGACGTTATTAGTGCTTCAAAATAAGTGTGAAAATTTGAAAATTTTGAAATATTGGAATGGGTTGTAAAATTAGCGAAAACTTTGCTAATTTAAGCTCAACCCACAAAATACCAATTCCTTCTCTGCGTCTCTCACTAGGCCCCTACTTTTTACATTCATTTTGGAGCTGTTACCGTTAAATTCAAATTTGGACGCAACTTATCTCGGTTCCTGTGAAAGATATCAAAAAGGGGTAAACTAACAAAATGTCATCACTACACTCATCACTAAAATCCTTTTGTCAGTTGACCTTTTTTTGATATCTTTCACTGAAAATGAGGTACAGAAGCTCAAAGTTTGGGGTCATCATATTACAGTGTTTACAGTAACCATCCACTTCCTCACCTGCAAATGGACCATTGTGGAAGAGAAGATGGAATACCGAGAGCCTTTCGAACATCTTGTCTGTTCAAATAGTTAGTAACTGGACTTTCATCCAGACATGGAACAGTTCCGAGAACCTCTGGAGTGTACTTCTTGTTGAATCTTCTCTCGTATTCCATGGCGAATCGGAAACTAGCACTGTAGGAAACGCAGTCAGCGTACATGTTGTATGGGTTGAGTCCTCCATTCCATGCGGTCTGCTGGGTGGCTTCAACGAATTCTCCGCAAGATGAGAACTCGCTGAACGAGTGCCATGGGCAGGCATCGGTGTCATTGTGACAACAGGTCTTCTTCATGTTTTGCCATTTGGCCTCATCGACAACACCGTGGTGGTACAAGAAGTTTACAAGAGAATCGACTCCTTCGTTCTCAGAAACACACCCGTTTCCGATGGCAAGTCCCTTGATGTTGATATGGTATTGGTCTTGACGATCAAGGATGGTTTGAACAAGAGTTGGAACATAAATGCCACCATAGGATTCTCCAGTAACGTAGAAATCATTTCCTTTGTATTGAGTGAATTCTTGGAAGAAAAGGGTCAATGCTTCCCAATTCTCACTTGCAGTTTGATCGTCTCCAGTTGAGATGTTGTTGTCAGTGGCATAGGAATATCCAACTCCAGCTGGGGCTTCCAAGGTCAGGATCGATGCGTTCTTGTTCCATGAGTATGGGTTGTTTGAGAGAGTAGCTCCATCTTTGTTCACCTGAAAAAGAAAACAACTGATAAGAGAAAAAGAACTGGGAGAGAAAACAGGAAGAATACATACACCCGGAAAAACAATTGAGTCATTTCCGAATTCAGCTGATTGGAGTATATCAGGAATTTTCGAATATTTTGGTTTCCACCGTATTCCCCGTATTTTCTCTGATAGTAGTCGACTTTATAAATGAAAATTTTGAGCTCAATTATCTGGGTTCCTTCAAAAGATCAAAAAATTTTCAACTGATAAATTATTCATCATAATATCATCAATATGTTATCAGTTGACGGATATTTGATATCTCTGGAATCTTCTCCAAACCATAAACTTTAATCTCAATTATCTCGGTTCCTCCAAAAGATATCAAAATATTGTCAACTGATAAAATGTAGGTGTAATTATGAAATGAATTTCATCAGTTGACAAATTTTTGATATCTCTCGTAGGAACCGCGATAATTGTGCTCGAAGCGCACGTATACGGTGGGCCTCAATTTGAGCAAATACGGTATCTGTTTTGTAAGGTAACTGATTACGGTAAGTATATTAGATATTTTGCAAAAACTCAAACAAGGCTCCAGGGCTATCTGGAACCCCACTATCGTTTTTGAAAAGTACCAAGAGATATCCGGCGATCTCTTGTGGCTTTTTTTTCAAGAAATGTCTAAACTATCGTATCTGAATCTTATAATGAAATCCCTTCCCCAAAAACAGTACACCAAATTGATAGTGAGTTCATTTACATATAAATTTTAGACGATAACTTTCCTTTCAGCTATTGTAATCAGCTTTTACCCATAGCAATTCTTACAGAAACTACAGTAATCCTTCTCCGAGAACCACATTACCTTCCCTCAATACAATTCTAAACCTCCCTCTTCAAGATACAGTAACCTTTTCAGTCATCGGAAACTCACATTCCATGGTCCCCACTCGGTGAGAAGTGCCGAAAGTCCAGAACATCCTGGTCCTCCAGTCAACCAAAGAAGCACTGGATCAGTGGCTGGATTACCCTGCGATTCAACGAACCAATAGTGAAGCATGTGGTTCTTCTTAGTTCCAACATTGTAATATCCAGAGTATTGCTTGAAATTGACATTTGGTGCTCCCGGAAGGTTTGTGATTTGGGCGAATTCACTGTAAATCAGGATAGATTCAGTTACAGTATTCTTTGAATTCCGACTTACCAAACATGGGCGAGAGCCAAAAAGGCCACAAGTGCAAGTATCCTACTTACCATCTTTTTTGTAATAAGACAAATGGTCAGAAGAAACGAGAATTAGTTCTTAGACCGGACTATATAGTGATAGAGAGGGAGGAGGAGTCTAGTTGAAAAATTGAAAAAGTTCTTATCTCGACTCATCACTTATCAACTGTATTTTTAAGCCGATTGTGACCATCTTCGCGTCTGATTCTCCCTTTTTTGACGCCGATTCACGATAGGGGCTTCATTACATCATCACCACTTTCCTAGTGGAAGAAAGAATCCGTGAAGAAAAAAGAGCAAAAAATTAAAAGATAGGATCTGCTGGAAGTTTTAAAAGACAATGTGTCTTGGTGAAGAAAATAAAGAAACGAGTTAAGAGGATGCACTTCAATTTTTCCGAGACTCTCTTCAAACATTAGTTTCTGCCTGCAGCTGCTAACTATTATCAGATGTTCTTCAGTTTCTCATTTGCTGACTTTTATTGATTTTTTCAAACCAAATCGGTTTTCCTTGAAGCGTCCTCCTTCTTCTATTGTTTTTTTTTCTGAAATCTATTTTTCACTTTGAAATGTACCGTAACCTGAAAACACTCTATTTTAACGCGTCATGAAGTTCCGGCAACTGGACAAACCGCTGTTCACAGCTGTCATCTTTTCCTTATCACTTTTCCATTAATTTTGGACGAATTTTGCTTAAACCGTCTAAATTTTTTGCATTCAACATCGTATTGTAGCCAATCTTTTGGTCTCGTGCTCGTTTTCCAACCAACGTCACAAAACTTCGAAGAATTACAAAATGTCAGCAAAAGTATCGTTCAAAGTTAATTCCTGATGATTTGAGTGTCTCTTTCTGAAAAACTTCTTATCACAACTGAATCGTAGTTTTGTTAAAATGGGCACAATCTACACCATAGTCAGGTTTTTCGTTTTCCGGAACTTGGACCATTTTTGAGAGAAGTAGGCATGGAAAGTAGCAATCGAACTAGAGGGAATTTCGAAAAACAAGAATAGAAAAATACCTCTTAATTTAAACATCATAAAACCGTAAAGCCTGTATTAGAAGGACTCCACACTGTCAAGTTTGAGCTAATTTTTCTTGGCTTCGATGTAAGGTATAAAAATGTGTCAACTGGAAAAATGTTTGTGATATAATGATAAACAATTTATTATTTGACAACTTTCTCATATCTTTGACAAGAACCGAGATAAATTTTCTCAAATTTAATAATTAGGTGACCCTTCTATTACTGGTATGACGAGTTTGCCGAAAAGCGTACGAACGTTGTCAATTTAAAAATTGGCTAAAACTTTAGAGTTTAAGGTCCAATTACTAATGATCTAATTTCGTACTTTTTGTCACAAAATGTTCCAAATTTGCTGAAATACGCAAGTTAAAGCCAACTAGGCCAACCCTTTATTCATATTTTCAGCCGCCGTCTTTACGGTTTTCCGCAACCCCGCCTTACATTCGATAGAAGGGCTCTAACTTTTATCGCCAATTTAGCCAATTTATCTGGGTTCTCGTGAAAAATATCAAAATGTGATCAACTGACAAAATGTGTATCATAATATCACAAACATTTTATTAGTTTATAACTTTTTGAAATCTTGCATAGGAAATGAGATAATTGAGCTTAAACGTTACCATATTAATTTTTTGCATCTGGAAACCCCCATCAGTAAAATCAGTTTGAAAGCGTTTGAAGACTATTTTCATTGCTCTCCTATTGTTTTCCATTTAATAATTATCAAAGAGCCGAATTACCAAAAACACGACGAGACGAAATAAACGACTTCTTCTCTGAATTGGAATTCAAATCCCAGAGCGGAAACGAATTCAGCCACAAACAAGAAATAGCTCTCTTCTGTGTATTCAGGAGGAATCCTAAACGCTTTTTATGGGCCAAACCATAAAGCTATTCGCCACACAAATCCTCCCGTCTACTTATTCAAATGTTTCAGAACCGCTTTACCTAGAAAAGTTGAAAAAAGTATTTTACTATTATAAGAGAGAGTATTTGATTATGAAGAGACATAGAGATTACGGAGAAAACCGGTCTTCAGATGATGACGCGAGAGGAAGAGAAAGAGAGAATCCTCTCTCTTTTTCTCCTTCGAAATTGTTTCCATTCATTTTGTATTAGTCGATATAAATGACGAGAAAGACCTATCGATCACACATATGATCCATTCGGTATCATCCTTATCAAGCTTGTTTGCCAATCACTCATATGTTATCTCTGCGCCTCTACCTCTCTTTCTTTCTTTTTTTCAAAGAAACCAATATGAATCCTTTTTTCCAATATCGCAAACACCAAATAAAGTCCTTTCTTATTCTTTTGTGAGTCAGAAACTTTCAATTGTTCGATTTTCTTTTCACAAGAGTTTCCACCGGTTTGTTGAATTCATATTCTTGGAAAAAAATCCCACAAGAATGCACTTCTTCTCTGAATTTTTGGAATTCTGGATGTTCCTGGAAGTCAGGATAATCTATCCCATTGGATTCTGCAAAATATCTCAAAATAATTTTTGTTTTTTTCTTTGTAACACTCGCTTTTGTTGTTCACCGACTTCGATTGGAGGAATGAACAAGTGTAATTTGTTTTAACGAAGAAAAGAAGAAGAAGAAGCAAAGAGAGGAGAAGAGTGGAATCCGAGTGTAATAGGTGTCAAAATTTGATAAAGTTCTGTTCTTTCAGTGATTTCTCGCCGGAATGCAAATCGGATTAAGTTGGTGAATCGTCAAATGGAAATACTTTTCCCCATTTTAATTTCGCTCGTTTGGTTTGTGGTTACTGTAGACTGAAATAGAAACAATTTTCCAGGCTTTTTCGAAAAAGAGTTTAACTCATTTTTCATAACCCAAAATATGTTTCCAATTCATCACTATTTCCGGTTTCTTTGTATTCTTGCGTCTATATTAAGTACCGTAGACACTCTAATAAAAGGCCACCCCATACTTTCACTTCGAGCCAATTTATCTCGGGTTCCTGTTGAAGATTTCAAAAAGTGGTCAATTGATAAAATGTGGCTGATATTATGATTAACATTCTATCAATTTACAACCTTTAATATCTTTTACAGGAACCGAGATATATAGGCTCAAAGTGCAAATATAGGGTGGCCTTCTGTTAGAGTGTTCACGGTACACTATCTAGATCTTGATATAGCTAAGAAAATTATTCTGAAAAACTATGAAACTAATTTTTCTATCTCCAAACATATTAAAAACTGCATAAACGTTACTTTGTCCAAGATATTCATTGAAAACACTTTCGACATAACTGGAGACTCTCAAGTTTCGATGATTTCAAGCGAAGACTTTTCATTATGAAAGTGCCAGATCTCCGACTTCATCAACTTCACCAGGTTTTATTTTTCTTAAGTACGTTGTGAATCTCCAGTTGAAATAAGTTTTTCCAAACCAATAGAAATCGCAGTTTGGAATATACCGAAAACATCAGTGTGCTTACGTTATCTTATCCTTTTTTTCAACTCATTATATTTTAGGTTCATTGCCGTGCTTGATATTCTCACCTAGAATTACTTTTCCGTCACATCATTTCCCATCCATAACGAATCATTCTTTTTTCATCCATCCAACTTCGGTTCCAAAACATCTCATTAAAATGCGAACCGTGTTTTTTTTCTTTTTTCTCTCTATCCCAAACAAATTTTCCAAATAAAATTAACGAACCAATTTGTGCTTTGTTATTTTGAGGAATAATGAGAGGGAAAGAAAACCTTTATTGAGTCATAGTGGATTCTAAAGGAAAAAGAAATTCCCAATGTTTGCTTTACCCACTTTCACCGGTTACTTACCCATTTTTTTTTTCTTTCTCTGGCCTATTAGTTTTACTCTTTTTTCTTTGTGTGTTGGTCGTACAAATTTAATAAGAACATCTTTTAAAAAGCAACAGGAGTTCTTCAAGATTCTTCGGATACTAAAAATCGGGAACCCTTTTTCAGAATTTCACTGAGCTTTCAAAATTCGTTGTTTTCCTCATCTCCCCGCATTTCCTAATTTTTGTGACACAACCCAATTGAAAACGGATTGTCACAGGAACCTCTCTGAAGTACCATTAACCTCCTCTACCCGCAGTCGGCTTCTTCTTTTTTTTTTTCGTCTTCCTTTTCTCCACATATATTCATCTTGTCTTTCCTTTTTTCCTTCTTCTTCTTTCCAATTCATGTCATATCTTGAATATTTCACACACTCATACCTCCTCTTCTTCAATTTCATCGAAGGTTCAAGAAATTACATTGACCTAACTCTTAGTCAACGTCTTCTGCTACTACCACTATATCGTCGAGTTTCTTTTGTCTTCCTAGCCAAGATTAAATTGCACCAACTCTTTTTTTTCAAGAATTCAAAGAAGATCATATGTCTCATTTTTCCAAAAAAATGTTTTTCTCTTTTTTTTTTGTTCCCTCGGAAGACTAAACAACATGCGAACGTGTTCCTCAACTCCTACTTTCAAAAACTCAATTTCCGGCGGAAACTCGACAAAAAAGAGCTGTGTGTCAGCATGTGTGTCATTTCAACGAATATCATAACTTTCCTTTTTTTGCTTTTCGCGTAAAAGATCTGAAAGAAGTTTGAGTTCAAAAACAATGTTTGGTTCAACTGTGTAATTTGAGAGCACACTTTTTTTGAATTTTCTGAATAACCGAACGGTATAGTAAAGGAAGTATCGTGAGCAAGTTTTCGAAACTTTCAACTTCAAGTTTACTTTTTTCACTTATTCCTTTCAACTTTGAGCCCATATACAGATCATGTACAGTATCGGTCAATAAGATACACAAAAACATACTTCTCGGTTGATTTTTGGCCATTTTACTATTTTCAGAATTCTGCTATATTGAAAGTTTTGCATTTACAGAATTTTTCAAAAATTCCTAGATTCTCAGCTATTTACCGATTTCTGAAAGATTCCTGCTTTTTTCACGATTTCAGTACAAAAATGAGCCAAAAAGGGGTGTCAACTTAAAAACATGTTTTTGTATATCTCATTGATCGGTACTGTATCTTGGCTCCTGTTTTCTGATATCTTTCACAGGGACCGAGATAAATTGGCTCAACTTTGAAAGTTAGGAAGTAGGCGTTCTATTAAAGTGTCTACGATATTTTGCAGATTACTTAGAACAAATCATATAACGGCACTTTTGTGCACTGTAAGTACTATAAGCATAAGAAAAATGTCCTATTTTTCAAAGTTTATGTTCACAACGGCTACCGTGTCCGCTAATCAGAGTAATTCAAAAATTTACATTTGCTACTATTGGGTTATGTTCACAAACCTAGTTCATCCCGGCTATGGCCTTCCGGGGAAAGTTTTAGTCTTCGGTGAACCTAGACACGAAACTCGTCCATCTTCCAATTCTTGTTCACTCTTTCTTGATACTTTTTATTTATTCAGTCTGCCTCATTTCCATCCAAGAGGAACATGAAAAATATGGGAATTGAATTCGGACTAATTTAGTTTATTGCATCAGAAAATTTTAGCATTTCCTCCATTGTCACTTTATATTTGCCGTTTTTGGCTAAAACTTCAAAGAGCCTTTATTTCCAAAACCTACAAAGAGTTTTCCTAAAAACAAAGAGTTTGCTTGGATAATCCTCTTCCGCTGGGTAGCAATTACCGTCCATCAATTTCTGAACGGAGCTCTTCTCTCTTTCTGAACTTCTTTTTCTATTTCTTAGACTCTTCTTTTCCGACCTATTCATCATTAGAATGTTTCTCCTTTCTCTCGGAAAAGGAAAAGGAAGAGAAAGGAGGCGCCGTCTCTCGGCGCCCAGCAAAATTAATGGACTCTTTTTTTTTGTGCGAGTGTGCTCCCGTGTTGAGCAGTCCCTTCGTTCTGCTTCGTCGAGTCCATATGTTCTGTATGCGAAAACGAGGAATTCCGAATTGATTGGGTCAATATATACATGGAATAACCTCTCCTTTATCTTATTTTTAATCTCTTTGTACATACAAATCGAACTCCAAAACATCATCTTCTAATTTTCAGAATAGTATCCTCTCTGCAACGTCTCATGATTGAATGCGTTGCGTGGCCCGTATCATTCTACTGACTTGTTTCATCTTCATTGCATTCATCTATCTTGCTGTATCTCATGCTAATTCAAAGATTGTAGTTGCCTTTGATGCGAACGGTTGGTTTCGGTTTTGAATATTTTGAATCAGGAGTCTGAATAATTTTTGAGAATCCCCAATAGATGTTTAGAATTTCTCAATTCAAGATGCCGTAGTTCCTCTAATAGAAGCCCACCCAAACCGCAAACTTCAAGCTCAATTATCTCGGTTCCTGTGAGAGATATGAAAATTTTGTCAACTGATAAAATGTTCATCATCCTATCACCTACATTTTATTAGTTGACCACCTTTTGATATCTTCCACAAGAATCGAGATATATGCTGAAAATGTATATTTTGAGTGGGCTTTTATTGGAGGAAATACGGTTCATCGAAGAGTATAGGTACCGTAATATAGGTACGACTATCAATTTTAACTTAATTTATCTCGGTTCATTCGAATGATATCAAGAAGTGGTTCATTTTTATTCTGGTACAAGTGGTCGAACGTTCCACAACGACAGCTACCGTAAGCTAGAAATATCTTTGTTTTCCGGATTTTTCAAATCAAATTTCAGCCCATTTTTTCACATTCAAAAGTTTATACTTTTAGACTTTTTCGGAAAGAATAACAGGAATCCTTTTTTGTGCGATTCTTCGTCGATTCTTCTGTTTCTCCCCAAAACAAGTCAGAAAATTAAAATTTTTGTGATAAGTGAAAAAATTGACTGAAAAAATATTGAAACCGAGAGAAAAAACCAATTGTTTTTTGATTACGGTAATGTCGTTTTTGATTACAAGATTCCATTTTTGTTGATGGTTGAGAAAATCCTGAAACATTATCATTTATTCAGATGAAGAAGCGCGTCGAATTCTGGACAGTGCAATACCATCTCCAACAGTTGCCAGCCCATTTAACAGCAGCGCACCCCAGTCGATGTCCGTTTCGGTAGCATTAGTTTTAATTGTTTCACTTATCAGTGTTGCTCTTTTAATCACAGGTGATATAAAGTTATCAATACAGCTTCTGGTATTCTCTCAGTTTCAGGTATAATCATAATTGCCGTTACGCTAGACCCAACTTCAAATAATGAAGATGATGAAGAATCGGATCTGGAGATCGACGAACCGACCAAAAAGAAAGACAAGCAGATTGCAGATCAGAACGGCTATTATCCACGTTTCGACTATGACTTCAACAATTCAACTACGATTCTCTCCGAGCTGTGATTGTCCCCACTTTTGTTTCCAATCCTAATTACGGGTGGTTTTTCAAATGTTAGTAAAAAATTAGTTTTTATTTCGATAAATGTGCTATAAACAAACAAAAAAAACCATGGCAATAGTCATTGAACAAGAATAAAAAACCAAGTGATGGATGGATGTGGGAGAGAGAGGGAAATGAAGTGAATGGCGTCAAGCGTCTTCCTCTGAATTTACTTGAGTTGTGGGAACGACATTTGTGGCTTGAGCTCAGTGAGCGACTCGTTCCAGTACTGAGTCACTGTCTTCCATTGAGTGTAGAATTGGATACCGGCCTTTCCGTAGAAGTTGAGATCTCCGAGGAACGAACCGCGGGAGCCAGTGAATGAGAACATTGGGAGTGGGACTGGAATTGGCACGTTGATTCCGATCTGTCCGACGTCGACTTCGTTTGTGAACTTTCTGGCGGTGGCTCCGTTGCTGGTGAAGATGGCAGTTCCGTTTCCGTATGGGTTGTTGTTGATGATTTCGATGGCTTCGTTGAGGTTTTCGGCTTCCATGACAACGAGGACTGGGCCGAAGATTTCCTCCTGAAATTTTTATTTTTCAAAAAAAGAATTGAACAAAATTACTCACTCTGTAGCAAGTCATGTTTGGCTTGACTCCAGCAAGAATGGTTGGTCCAACAAAGTTTCCGTTCTCGAATCCTGGAACAGTGACGTTGGATCCATCAAGTGGAACTTGAGCACCCTCCTTCTTGGCGCTCTCAATGAGACGAAGGACACGGGCCTTGGATTGCTTAGAAATGAGTGGTCCAATGTCAGTATCTGGCTTCCATCCGGCGTTAACCTTGAGGTTCTTGGCCTTCTTAACAAGCTCTGGCAACCAAGCGCGAGCATCTCCAACAAGAACTGCGGTGGTGAGAGCCATGCAACGTTGTCCGGCGGCTCCGAAAGCAGCGGCGGTAAGTTGGTTGAGGGTCTGTTCCTTGTTGGCATCAGCCATGATAACTCCGTGATTCTTGGCTCCCATGTTGGATTGGACACGCTTTCCATTCTTGGCTCCGCGTTCATAGATGTGCTTTCCCTACAAGAAACAAATGATTTCGGTGAAAAACTGTTTAGAAAAACTTACAGCAGCATCTCCTCCAACGAAGGAAATAGCCTTGATGTCTGGGTTGTCGCAGATGAAGTTAACAGCCGAGTGTTGTCCGTGGATGATGTTGACACATCCATTTGGAACTCCAGCCTCCTTGGCGAGCTCGACAAGAAGTTGAGCTGCTCCTGGATCTTGCTCAGATGGCTTGATGACCATGGTGTTTCCAGTAGCCAAAGCAATCGGGAACATCCAGAGTGGGATCATAGCTGGGAAGTTGAATGGGCAGATTCCAGCGGTGACTCCAAGTGGGATTCTGTAGGAGTGGGTGTCCATGTCGCGAGAAACATTTGGAAGAGTCTCTCCCATCATGAGGGATGGAACAGAGCAAGCGTGCTCGACGACTTGGAGTCCTCTGCTCACGTCTCCCTCAGCATCTGGAAGAGTCTTTCCTTGCTCAATTGTGATACTCTCAGCGAGCTTCTTCATGTCTCTCTTGATCAAAGCCTGAAGCTTGAACATGCATTGTTGGCGGGTAAGAGGAGATCTGAAAATATTGGTAATTATTTCGATGGAAATCTTCTAACATACGTGTTCTTCCAGGTGCTGAAGGCGTTCTTAGCCGAGTCGACGGCGGCTTGCATCTCAGCTTGCGTGGCGTTTGGAACAAGTCCGATGACCTCATTTGTGGCTGGGTTGGTCAGTTCAACGAAATCAGTCGTCTTTGATTCAACAGCTTGTCCATCGATCCACAGCTTAACAGTCTGAAAATCCAACGTTGATGACTTTGAAACTTTTATTAAAGCTTACGGGGGCTGCAGCTGCAGACTTGGATGTGCTGAAGGAGGCGAACTGGTTGCATTTTGGCTGAAAAAACCAATTGAGATTTACACCTAATTTCTTTATCGGTGATTCTTTGATTTCTGTCTCGCCATTTTTCTCTTTGCGTCATTTAAACGAAAAACGCCAACTGTCAAATAGACACTGCAGCCAACACACACGTGTCGCATCTTGCTGGGAAGTTTAAACCAGGTCGAGAATATAAAAAAAACAGAAGTCTTACCTGGACACGAGCGAGACGAGACAACATCCTGAGCAATGTTAACCACAAGTTTTAGAGCTGAAAAAAAGGGAAACTTGTTGGTTACTAACGAAAGTAAGAGAATAAAAGACGTCGAAAAAGATGGGCGGTGATATGAATGAAAAATAGAAACAAGGTGAGCGCGTGTTGGTGACGACGAATTGGATGAAGAAAAATGAAGGAAAAAATAACGATTTAGAACTAAACATTATAGATCACTTTCCGCTTTTAGAAATTCAGGTTATGCAGGTGAAGACACGTGTGGAAAAGTTAAAAAAGAGCAACTGATTGTTTCTGTTTCTTGAAAGTTTGAAGGGGATAGGGTGATGGGAGGAGTGGCAAATCGGACGACACAGAACAGTTGCTTCCCAGAGACAGCAAAAAAAAGAAGAAAAGAAAAGAGTGCGAAAGGAATAGTGCAAGAGAATAAGAGACAGCAGCAGCACGTGGGGGAAAAGACCTGCAACTGCCCAACATTTGACCCGTGTGCACTTGGAAACGTGATCAATCGTCTCGAAACCTGAATAGAGATAGTGAATGAACAGAAATCAGCGTCGTGATAAGGGTGTCAATAACATTATCAGAGCCAGGTTGACAATTCTTCTAGAACGACTCCACATGTGATAAAAAACAAAGTTCATTATTACAAAAAATGAAAACTATGAGAGGAACAATCATTAGGGAAACAAGGCAATAATAAGCAAAAGCAGGCTAAAACGGTTTGCCTAATGTGTTCTGATAAAAATGTTCAAACCCGAGGGCCCTACTATTAGAGGGGCCTTTCAATTAAAGAAAACTTCTAATACAGGTTCTACGGTAATCTACATGCTTTTCTGCACATTTTGATGCAATAAATTTTCCTACCGTACACCACCTTTAAAGGAGCATGCCCATGTGAGAGCGATATCTTAGCGCGCTTGCGTTACAGTAACCATACGGGGTTTCAAAGGCGTATAGGTAACCTCCGAAAAAATCGAAAAAGCTTCTTTTTTTGGTTTCTGGGTCCGAAAAAAAACAAAAATATATATTATTCGGTTCCAAACTTCGAGAAAATTCGGAAATTTTGACCGAAAAAATGGATGTCGATGCTCGTCTGGAATAAATACCGTGTCGAATTGTATTTTTTTGATAAATTGCGAGTACTTTATAATACAACCGACCGAAAAAACTTTCAAACTTTTTCTGTCCGAAATTTTCCGCTTTCTGAGCTCCGAAAAATTATTCGCCGAATTTTTTTCGGTAATCAACCGAAATTTTTTCGCTTTTTGGCCATTTCCGATGAAAGTCTGGAAATATTTGTTAATGGGGGTTATTCATGTAGCGAAAGTCTGCACCGAAATTCATTGCAGGAGTGTCGCGAAATGCATTTCAATACATTTCGGTGGAAGTCAGTAATATCGCCTAGAAAAAGAATTCCACACAAAAAACCATGCTCCAGAGACTAGAAAATGTTTCCGATTATTTATATTAAACATCTGTAATGTAACGAAATCAAAGAAGACAAGAACGGCTATTTATTATCATGAGATTCTGTGACAAGGGAGAGTATGCTATAAAATAAGAGTGCAATAAGAAGACTGTAGTTTACATAACGATTCCGTTCTGAACTTCAAGAAGTGCCTTCGCAGATTTGTGAAGTTTCTCAACCTCGGCTTCATTGAGATGCTGCTTGACGACATGAGTGAGTCCCGCAGATCCGAGAACGACTGGGAGCGAAAGGTAGACTTCGTCGTTGATTCCGTGGAATCCCTGAATCAATATAAATGCTCGATTGGTAAGAATAATTAGATCATTACCTTAACGTTGGTGGAGAGAGCGTATACATTGCGAGAGTTACTGAAAATTCCCTGAGCAATCTTCGCCACGGATAGTCCGATAGCCCATGAGGTGTATCCCTTCAGCTTGATGATTTCATAGGCGCTATCAACCACCTTTTTGTGGATTTCAGCCTCCCAGTGCTCGTTATCAGTTTTCTCTCCAATGTCTGGCTTGACATCGTGGAGAGTGACTCCGGCCACGTTGACTCCAGACCAGACGGCAACGCTCGAATCACCATGCTCTCCAATGATCCACCCGTGGCATGAAGATGGAGCGATGTTCAGTTTCTCAGAGAGCAAGAAACGGAAACGGGCCGAATCGAGATTGGTTCCAGATCCGAAGACGCGTTCACGTGGGAGACCCGAAAGCTTCCAGGTGACATAAGTGAGAACATCCACTGGATTGGAAACGACGAGAATGCAAGTATCCGGAGAGTACTTGACCAGTTGTGGGATGATTCCTTTGAAAATCTCAACGTTTCTTTGAACCAACGAGAGACGAGTTTCCCCTTCGCGTTGACGAGCACCTGCTGTTACGACACACAACTTCGATCCAGCAGTGATCGAGTAGTCTGCAAAAAAGTACTTTAATGGCAAAAATCGAATTATAAATTTCTTCAAATCAGAAATCCTAACTTACCAGTATCAGCCTTAACGGTACAGTGGCGAGTGAAGGCAAGACCATGCTGGAGATCCATCATCTCTCCCTTGAGCTTATCAGCGACAACGTCGACAAGACACAGCTCGTTGGCAATGTTTTGCTGGAGAATCGAGTAGGCGCAGGCCATTCCGACTTGTCCAACTCCGACGACAGTCACCTTTCCATGGCTATATTCAACAGCCGGAGCAATCTCGGAGAAGACTTCCTTGATAGTACTAGCCATGCTGAAGCAATTTTTTATGGATAATGCTCGTTATTAGTGAGACCTAAGGAATATACCTAGAAAAAAAAAGAGAATTTGGGAGATAGAAAACGAGAAAAACCTAGTTTCAGTGTCTTCAAAAATCGAATGGAGTTGGCCCTTGTGGGCAGCCGTGCAAAGTACGTGCAAAACACGAGAACAGAAAGAGCTGGTGGAAAGAAGAGAGAGGTAGACGATTAGAGGACTAGATTCAATTCAGAAAGGCAGAAAAAAAGGAAAAAAAAGAAGAAGAAGGGTTTTGAAAACAGCGGCTATTCTGATAGAAAGAAATCGCAGGGGAGGAGGAGAAGAAACTTATCAAAGAATCGGAAGATCATAGTTTGGTCTTTGGACTAGACAATTTTAAAAAGACAATGCCTACACAATGGGTAGGTAAAATATTTAAAAGTCTAAAAATCCGAAAAATTACGACTTCATTCATTGAAAAATAAGGCTAGATTCTGGTAGAGTCAGCCTAAATGAATCGTCTTTCTGATTGAATAAAAAGTTAAATACTATATAACAAAACTCGATGGCCTAAAACCGATGTTTGATCGTTCGGTCTTTTTTTAGTAAACAAAAACATGTGTACTATGAAACTTTCGTGAAAAACATGCAAAAAGAAGAAGAAGACCCACCTCGCCATTTTCAGCAGTTTTCGGCAGACGTCGTTTGGATGTGTTGAATCTGAAATGAAGGAGAGATTTGCATATATGTGTGTTACTGGAGCAAATACTCCTTCCGGATTATGAGAAAATAATCGAAAAATGAGAGTAGATGGAAAAAAAGGAAGCAGAAGCAGAACATCTAGGACTAGAAGGGAATAAAAATGCACGAGAGAAATACACCCCTTCTGGATGATGCAAAGGGGATGACGACTTGTGAGCTTTCGAAATAGAAAATGATGCAAAAGAAAGAGTCCATAGAAGGAGGGGGAACGCCCTTTTACAGGGAGCTATTGGATCCAGAAAAAGAGGAAGAAAAAAGATAATTGGATATTGAAACATTCTAAAAATAGTTTGGAAAAACTTGAAAGTTTATGGATCTCAACAGCTAGAATAATCAAGTTTAGGTTATAAGGTTAGAACAGTTTTTGATTTCTGTTGAGAATTTTTTTTTGGAAAAGGAAAGCTCTATTTACTCAGAGCACACAAAATATCTGTGTGAAGTTTCAATCCCATAACTTCCCTTTTTTTGTTATCCTGTTAAATTTTCAGAATAGAAATCAAATTATAATCAGTTACGGTAAAAACTTAATTCCGTATGAAGATATTATTGTGGTACAAAAATCGGAGATGTGGAAGACAAACGCCGGTGGCCGAAGGTACCACAACGACAAATACCATAACCTAAAAATATTTTTATTTTCAAATTTATTTTCTCGTTTTTCTCAGCTTTTCGTCGATTTGTCTATTATTTCATCTCTAAAAACTCCTGAATAAAAAAAAACTTTGATAGTGAAAACATTGACTGACAAAGCACGAAAATCGAGAAAATAAATCTTGGAAAATAAAAATTATTTAGGTTACTCCAAAATAACCTTCGGCCATAGCCACCAGCGTTTCTCCTCCGCGGCTCCGAATTTCCTGGTACCAGAATAATAACTACTACCGTAGCTTCTATTCACCTGTGCCTATAACAAACTACATAATTTTCTAGAACGAGTGCTCTTCGTGTTTTTCCGAATGAATAAGTTATGAAGACATCTCTCTGGATGCCTTGAGGCAAAATCAGAAAATGGCAAACTAAAAGCAGAAAAATAGGAGAGACTTTGTGACTCAAATAGTGAGTGCACTGCCCAGCGAGAAAGTTGCTTTTCAGAAGAAAAACGAGCTGGTTTTTCTCTTTTTTTGCCTCGGGATTATGCTGCTGTGCAAAACGAGTCTAATTGAAAAGAAATTATGCACAAATATTTTTGAGAGGAGTTGAAGATTAGATTGATTTTCAGATATTTTCTTTGCTTTTTTATAGAGAAGAGTGGGCATCTGAAATGAGTGTAAGAGGAGGAGAAACTAAAAAACCAATCCCACTAAATATTGAACTAATCTGACCATAAAGGGCTTCTTCTGCTTTTTCCAGTTTGCACGTTTTATGTGAGTTATCTCGTCGTCTCCATAGAAACCGAGATATTCTGTGGCTTGTTTTTGAGTTTTGTAGTCAAATTTTGTTCAAAAGATTAAGAAGACAAATGAGAAAAATGCATATTTTTCGGCAATAGACATCAAGAATTGATTACCATAAACACTCGAATAGAGCGGCACTCAAATTTTCAACTTTGAGTTCATATATCTCTTTTCCTGCAAAAGGTATCGAAAAGCAATCAACAGACGAACTATTTTGGATATTATGATAAACATTTTATCAGTTGACTACTATTTGATATCTTGTACAGAAAATGAGATTATGGACTCAAAGTTAACAAATTGGATGATACTCTTTTAAAGGTGGTGTACGGTGAAATTTTTTATTGCATCAAAATGTGCAGAAATGCATGTAGATTGACATAAAAATAAAGAAAAAGTTCAAAAAAAATTCCTTTATCGAGAAAAACGCATCGAAAAATACTCTGAAAGCCCTTAGGGACGAGGTTTTTTCTAGGCCACCCGGTGAGTAAAAGCGCGCGAATTCAAACTTTTAAAATTTTTTTCGCTCGTTTTCACTGTTTTTTCAAATTTTCCGATGTATCTGGAAGAAAAATTGACAAAAACCTTGAAAAATCTTGAAAAACCGATTTACTCACCGGGCGGCCTAGAAAAAACCTCGTCCCTAAGGGCTTTTAGCGTATTTTTCGATGCGTTTTTCTCGATAAAGGAATTTTTTTGAACTTTTTCTTTATTTTTATGTCAATCTACATGCATTTCTGCACATTTTGATGCAATAAAAAAATTTCACCGTACACCACCTTTAAAGTGTTTACGGTAACTGTGAGAAAATAATTTCTGCTTCATTTATACCTAAATCAAGTGCATAGATGATCAATGAAGTAGCAAAAAAATCAAGTCCTGAGAAAAAAAAAACTTCCATTTGTTTAGGTTCATTATATACCGTATTTCCTCTAATAGAAACCCAAACCGTCAACTTTGAGCTCAATTATCTCCATTCCTGTGAAAGATATCAAAAATTTGTCGACAGACATTTTATCAGTTGACAAAATTTTGATATCTTTCAAAGGAATCGAGACAATTAAGCTCAAAATTGACAGTGTGGGGCCCTTCTATTACAGGTTCTATAGCATCTTCTTTTTCTGCTCAACAAAGCTTGCCTATTCAATTTTATTGAATTCGAAAAGTTTGTTGTGAACAACAACCAAAAATAACCGTAATATGTTTTAAACTGTACAGAAAAGTTTCAAAAAGGATCAGACTGGAGGCATCGGAATATCAGGAACGGTTGCTTGAGGTGGAAGTGTTCCCGTTTCCACAATCGAATCTACGTTGATTCCTGGTGGTCCTCCTCGAGCTTTTCGAACCTGGAATATGATTTAGTTATATCAATTTAACATTTCTACAATATTTAGAACTATCTCTGATCAATAAAAAATTAGACTCACTTCGTTCTCTTTCTCAGCTGCATCCACCCTAGTCATCTCTTCATCGGTTGGCGGAAGAGGTGGCACTCCTCCTGGAGACAACGCTCCGGCTCCTGGCTCAACTCCTCCGAATAGGGGACCGGATGGAGTTGGGGCAACAGGTTCAGGTACTGGTGGGACTGGAACTGGTGAAGCTGGTTCTGGAGCTGGAACTTCTGGTGGTGGTGGTGCTACTGGTCGCGTGTCTACAGATGGAGTCACAACTGGAGGTACTGGAGGTACTACTTGACCAACAGAAGGTTCGACTGGAGCGGGTTGTGGTGGATAGAATTGTGGAGGCCGTCCATAAGACGATGTAGGGCGAGAATATGGAGAATAAGTGGGTTCTGGTCTACTATATGATGATTTTGGAGGTCCATAACTGGATTGTGGAGGGGAATAATTGGATGGTCTTCCGTAACTTGACCCATATTGTCCAACTCTGTTTCCATATTGATTCTGGTTCCAATCATTTTGATAGTGGTTCTGATTATAGTTTTGATACGGATTGTAATTATTCTGATTCCATCGATCTGCCCCATAACTAGGTCGAGAATAGGAACTTGACATGTACGCTCCTCGACGATGCCTGAAATCAAAAAGCTAGTATTTGGGTAACTTTGAATAATTTGAAATTTTCTATTAAAAAAATCAATCGCGAAAAAAATTTTAAAACTTTTGGTTAAAAAAACTCACCTAACAAGAGAAGCAGTAGAAATTGAATAAAAAAGAATAATAGATGACAGAGGAATTGAAAACATCTTGAACGCAATCACACCAGATCAATACGGGACAAGATGAGACAAGGAAAAAACAAATTGATACGAAAGAAAGAGAGAACGACTGGTCAGGTAACCTGTCTTATGTCCACTTATACTGATTCGACCGCGAGTGGGCGGGCGAGAAAACGAAATGGAAAATGAGTCAAACTTTGACGAACTTTGGAAAAAAGTAATTTTCAGTTTGGAAAAAAGACAAAAAGCAGAAATTCTGATGACCCGTTACTAGTAGAAAAAATGACCCTGACGAGTGGACGAATGCTTCGTCATCTTGCATTCTGAAAAAGCAGCAAAAAGATGTAAACCAAAATTTGGAGATGTTCCGATGACCTCCAAAGTTTTTTTGTTTAATAAAAAATAGTTGAATTTGAGTCAGCAGAATATATAACTGAAAAAAGGGAAACCAGTTTTGAAAGAACCTAGTTAGTAGAATCACATAATTTGCAGTAACCGATGGGAAGTCATTTGCTTGGAAGTTTTTTTGGATTACTGTAGCTCCAATCTTTCGGTTCAGCCATTCAATAATTCCAAGTTCTGGAAATGTCCATAGATGTGCTGAAAGATTCAGTTTGCCAAGCTTTCCGGATTTCTAAAAATTCCCTTGTTTTCATATCTGTAAACCGGGCCGTGTCATAGTTTTATATTTTTAACCAACTAAATCGGATTCGATAGAACTGGACGAGTACTACAAAATGATGTTATTTAAAAAGCTGTATCTTGTCTATGAACAGAGTTACGAGCCATAAGGTGGCCGATCCGGCCAGAGCCGCATTCTACCCGTTTTTCCCGCTTTGTCCATAACTTTTTTCATGAAAATAAACTATGACAGATCTGACGAAGATCCGCCAGGGACCAATTCACAAGTATGCTCATTTCGCTACGAACTTTGTCTTCGATTTTTCTAGAATTGATCACTTCCTGTTTCATTGTTTTCAAGTTCAAGAAAAATAACCAATGAAACCCAATCCGTAAACTTGTTTTCATCTATATTTTCTCTTTCTCAAATAACCAATCTGTCATATTTCTGTGTTTCCGTCTTTTCTCACCAGGTGGCACATGATTTCCGTCGATTCGTTTTTTTCGATTTCATTCGGAAATTCAAGGAATACCAGATATCGAAAGATTCTGATTTGATCGTTGAACATCTGTTGATTGTCGAATGTGTTTTAGTGTCAAACCAAACGAAACTGGATGGGGACAATTTTTATAGATACCCGATTGGGAGATGAAAAGTTGAAAGATGATATCAAATGACGCGGAAAGAAACAAAAACAATTAGACATAACTAGGTTTTAGAACTGAATCTTTTCGTTGAATTGCTTCGGTGATTCGGTAACGAGCCATATTCTGATTTCGAACGGCCACAAATCCTTTGTATAGAATATGAGATAGTTTGATGGAAACCAGAAGAGCAATTGTCAAAATAACACCAGTCAGGACGAAAAACTCCTTATTTGTCAATCCTTCTGAAAATAGTTGTTTTCTTTTATTTTGAATATTTTTTTAAAGAACTCACTATCACTCGTAGTATGATAATAATGAACTAAATTGAATATGGATAGCAATGTAGCAATCCACCAAACAATCACAAATAATACGAATGTTGTTAGAAAGATCAGCTGGAAATATTTCGTTGAAAATCCCCAGAATTTATAATGACTACCTGCAATGTTAGCCAAGGAACCATAAAACATTCCACGAGTCGAAAAGCACCAACAATGTAGAAAGTTGTAAAGATGGAGTGTACTGAGAAAATGCCTAAAATATTTTGATAAATCAACTTTTTTGAAAACAAGAGTTACCAGCAAAGACAGCAGGTAAGGGATTTCCATCTATTCGACAGTGAATGTATTCATACACTGCGAGAGAAACTTCAGCAATGAGAATAATAATGGCAACGACGATGGATGCAGACTGAAACGATTCGATTTTGAACTTTGAATTTTAATGTTTTCAAATCGATATTTCCTAGTTTCAGCTACCGTATTCCCTCTAATCGAAGGCCACCAAAGCCGTCAATTTTGAGCCCACATATCTCTATTTCTGTGAAAGATATAAAAAATCTGTGAACTGATAAACTATTGGTGATAACATTATGAATAATTTATTAGTTGACAACTTTTCGATATTTTTCACAGGAATCGAGATAATTGAGCTCGAAGGAAATACGGTTTATTTCAGACTTACAGAAATATAATCTGGTAATTGCGGATGACTGAAACTTTGACAACTCATATTCATGAATACCCCCAGATCATCACTACATAAGTTCTGTGATGAACCTTCGAAGATCCAAAAATTACTCAGGGTGGAAAGGAAAAAAGATAGATGATACACCCCCAATTAACTATTCAGGCTCAACTTTGGGGATCTTTGAAGTTCAACTATGCTATATTATTCTTTTATTAGAGAATATTTTTATTAGTATCTTAACCTAAAAATGAATTAACGACTCTGAAAGTAATTTCAGAAAAGATCTGGAAGAGTTTCTGTCGGATGAAAACCTTGAATTTCTCAGAATCCAAAATAACATTCAAGCGAATACCATAACACTTTGAGCTCAATTATCTCGGTTCCTTTAGGAGATATCAAAAATTATCAACGGATAAAATGTTTTTCATAATATCACCAATATTTTATTAGTTGACAGATTTTTGATATCTCCCATAGCAACTGAGATACTTGAGCTCAAAGTGCGCAATACTAAATCCGCCTATGAACTTTTTTCTTATATTTTAAAAAGTTCAGTTGATTTTTGAAACATCTAAAAATCCATGTTTTCGACGTTTTTTGAAATCCCTGAATCCCTCGAGAGATGTTCACTAAACAATTTTTGTGAGTTATGGCTTCTTTGATTCCAAAAAGAAAACTCTACGAAAATAGGCTTACCATATTTTTTTATTTAGCAGAATAAGAATTTCTAGGACTTTTTAAAGGGGTCTTTTGAACATTTACAAGATCTCCAGTGCACCGGAAACGTGACAGAGGATTGTGGCAGTGGTTGTAGAACTACTAATTAGAGGAAGAAGAAGAAGCAAAGGACTCACCCTCATTGTCAGTTTATATTTTGTACATCTTCTTCCCACTGGCTCGTCTTCAGATCGAAACATTCCTTCTCTTTTCCGTTTTCCGGAAAAGAGGAATGTTTATAAAATATGCAGGCGTCACCAAAAACGGAGAAGCCTCTTATCCACGAATAAACACTGGACCCCAAAAAAAAAAGAAGAAGAAAAGAAGGTCTTCGGGAAACGTGGTGTGACCAGAAGAATCTTTTATTCTTTGGAGAAGACGTACTGATGGCTGGTGACGAACATAGAGGAGGAGCAAGAAGAAGCCACGACAGTTGCTTCGCACCGTGATGAAGCAGCTGTTTTTCGTGCACTACACGCACATCTTAGAGACGCAGTTGAGACCACCATTTATCACAGGATGCTTTGGTTTGTCAGCTGGGGGAAAGTGAGTAGGAAGAAGAGGAAGAAATAAGAAAAAAAAAGAAAGTGTTTTGAAAAAAAGATGATTGAGTGAGATGTCAAAAAGATAGAATGTTTTGAAAAATGTGAACTTTTTTATTTTCTGAAATTGAAATCTGAAAAAGAAAACTCTAATTCTATACATCGGGTGCATTACAATAAAGAAAGTTATTGAATCAATGTGACTGGCTTGACACCAAGTTTGCTCGCCAAATCGTTCTGAAAAGAAATAAAGTGTTGGAATTGCAAGAAACTAAAGTCTTACAATGAAAGTGATTTGGTTTTTGTGATACGGTATCCCTCCTAGTTGCTCCACGAGCAGCTCATGTCGCCGCTCCATGTCCCCGGCGACTTCCACTTTGAACGATGGAGACGACTGAAATTGAATAGAGAACTATTGACATTTCAAGTCACATTTCCTTAATTCGAACGATAGTTCGAATGACCTAACAATTTGTCAATTTGACTTTTAGTGTTTTTCGAATTGAACGAATGTCTCAAGTGGTTACCGTTGGCAAGGCTCTCATTGTCTGCATAAAGTCCTGTAGGCGTTCGGCGAATCCTGGTGCAAATGCGTCTGGATCAATCGCCACAAAACATTGACCCTGGAAACAGTACTTTCTGTTAAAATGTAAAACTACAGTACACATAACAAATTTAAAATGGACTATCTTGTTACAGATTTCCAGATTTTCTACTCACCAAATCAGCTTCTGCGTTAGTGCTCATCCATTTTCTGACATGTGGTCCCCAATGCGCTCCAGCCAAAATTCCGCAGAAAATTTCTATCATCGAACTCAATCCGTATCCCTTGTAGCCTCCTACAAATCACACATTATCCAGTTTTACGTTCTTCTCCAAATCATACCGCTGACTTCCACTCCACCTAATGGAAGTAGTCCTCCTCCGTTGAGTACGTCTTTTGGATCAACCGTTTCTTTTCCACCAGCTCCTACTCCCCATGATAATGGCACTGGATTCTCTTTTCTGGCTGCCAATTCTACCTGAAACATAGATGCTTGATTGTAAAACACAACACCTAGATATTTATTTCAAAGATGATCACAACGCTTCTCCATCACCAATTCGCATTGTGGATGCAAAGTACGGAGGATCCGCGCACCGATTTGGGTCATTCTGTTTCTTGCCTTCTTCTGCTTCTCTCCTGTTCACTTTTCTCCTATTCCACACCGTCTCCACTCTTCCTTTTCACCACTTTCTCTTTATCATTGATCCTCTTTTCAAGATTCTTCGTGTAGCCTATGTCTTTGTTTCAAGTGATTTCTAGACTGAAACTGCTTCCTTTTCTACTTTTTATTCCTATTTTGCCTAATGAAATCAAAAAGATCTAGATAGATATCACTCTCCCTTTTCTTTTAGATTCCCAGATTATCAGCTACCTTCTTCACGTTACATTTTTCTGTAACTCTCATTTTTGAATGACCTCGCAGTGGCCTTGATCCAGTTTTACAGATTTCCATTCAAATCCACGAGCTCCTGTTCGCCACGTCGTCTTAAACTGAACCAGCAAAAAAAAAACTCAGTAAGCACTCAACAGAATGTTGTCTGAATGACACTAATTTTTTTTCTTTTTTCTTTCTTCACACCTCCTTGTATCCCAATCACAAAAAAACAGTTTTTTATGTCCCGATCTTCCCACATTTACCCGATGCACTTCGTCACAAAACACTAATCGAATTTTCATTTGACTCAACTCTTCACCTATGACATAATGGAACTAGTTAGAATCGAAACTCTTAGTCCCGCCTCTATATGTACCCTCTGGAACAAAGATCTACCTAAAATCATTTTTTTCCTGCTTGTAGTGATGGCTTCGGAAGTCAGTTCACACGAGATGAAGACGGCAAGAGCGCCTCCATCACCACCAGCAAACGTTTTCTACAATTTCATCGTTACACATTTGTGTATTCCATCTATCCGGAAGTGAGTTGGTTTTTAGTTTTTTGAATCAATCAAGTCTCAAAATTTTAGATTCTTTGCCACCTTCCTGGCCAAATCCAGTGAAAGACTCTTATTGCAAATTCCATCAGTGAACTTCGATTCTGAGTTTGGCAATATCGCAGAAACTAACAATAACAATGCACCATCAAAACCAGTTCTCCTTACTATCCACAACCCAATCCACTTCTGTTGGCTAATGCTTCTGGATCCAAAGATGGGACTTGGAGAGACTTACATGGCTGATGACTGGTCGTGTTCTCCAAATCCAACTGAATTTCTTCGTCTTCTGATTCGCAGCAAAAAGCAAACACAAGCAGCGTACAAGGCTCAACATGGGGACAAACCAAGAACCAAATCTTTCGGATCTCAAGTCTCGCAATTTGCCATTAATATTGTTCGCAAGATTGCTAAAGTTGTCAACTACATTCAGCATTGGCTACAAGAGAATACTCTCACTCAAAGTACCAAGAACATCCAGGCTCACTACGACCTCGGAAACGACATGTTCAAGTTGTTTTTGGATAAGTCAATGACATACTCTTGTGCTCTTTTCGATGGTAAGTCAGACTTTGATTTTTATGATTGCTCTAAAAATCGGATTTCCAGCTGAGAAGCCAGTCACGGATGTCGATTTTGTTGAACTGGAAAAAGCTCAGTACAAGAAGATCGATCGTCTGATTGATCAACTAGAATTGAAAGCCGAAGATCACGTTCTTGAAATCGGATGTGGTTGGGGAGCTGCTGCTATTCGTGCCGTTCAGCGTACTGGATGCAAATGGACTGGAATCACCATCTCCAGGGAACAGCTAGAATGGGGACAAAGAAAGGTTGTAGAGGCTGGACTCGAGGGAAGAATCGAGCTTCGATTCCAGGATTACAGGTAGGTCTTTGTTGTCTAGCATCCATTTTCTTAAACTCAGAAACATTCAGATTAGTGAAAGAAAAATACACTCGTGTCGTGTCCATTGAAATGATTGAAGCAGTTGGAGAGAAATATCTTCCACAGTATTTCCAAATCATCAACGATGTTCTCACTGCTGGAGGAATCGCAGCTCTTCAGGTTTGTAATATGTTTTCTTTTTAAATTACCAAAAGACCAAGAAAACCAAGAAAACTAATTTCATGATTCGAATTATTTCAGGCCATCACTTGTCCAGACGCCTATTACGACCAGTACCGTTCTTCTTCTGATTTCATTAAGAAGTATATCTTCCCTGGAGGTCATTTGCCATCTCTGGGTGCCATTTCTCAATCTCTTCCAAAGACCTTGAAACAGACTGATCTATTTAGCATGGGTCATCATTATTCAATGACATTGGAACATTGGTTCTTGTGAGTACAGTAATCCAATTGGACCCGATCTTTCACAAGTATAATTTTCCAGTGCCTGGATGAAAGCCAAAGAAGAGATTGAGACAAAGTTCAAGCTGCCAGATGATTTCCATCGCAGATGGCAATTCTACTTCTGCCTATGCGCTGCTCTCTTCTCCTACGACCACATTGATGTCGTTCAACTGACATTCAAGAAGGACAAGACTAACTGAATCTTCCCATTCTCTCTCTCCCCTAACAATAATTCTCTGTATTTGGGCCGATCTCTAGTCGTTCTAGGCTTTTACTACCATTGATTTTTGGCGTTTGCCCAACTCGTATATGACAATTTTAAAGTCTCCCCATCCCCAATGAATACCTTTCCAATAGCAACTGTTGTTGATGCCATATCAAGTACAAAGGCGTCGTCGCCAGTTCCAGGAGCTGCCAGACTAATAGGATTAGTTCCCAACGCAGGAACAGCGCTTCTTGTTGGATACGATATTGGCGATGTGTTTGTCATGGACATTCCCTAAAAGAAACCGAAATACGCTTTGAAGATACAAGTTAATGTTACCAGCATCCCTTGTTTCATTGCTCTTAACGCGTACCATCCAGCAATTCCATAGTGATTCGATCCTTTAGCAACAACCCATCCAATTCCAGCATTCTTCGCTTTTTCGATAGCCAAATCCATACAGAAATTACCAACGACGGGACCAAGAAGATTGTTTCCATCTACCCATGCGGTTCCAGCTTTCTCTTTCAGAATAACTGGTTCACCATCTCCTTTGCACACATTTTGTTGAACATCACGGACATACATATCTGAAAATAAGGATTGTTGCAATGAAAGATTCATTAAATTACCGAGTCGATTGAGTCCATGAGAATAATGACCACGAACATCTCCTTCCAATAGTACCAAAGCAAGTTGTGTAGCGTGAGATTCAGTAGCACCTGCTGTCGTCATGCATTCCACCATGAATCTTCGCATCTGAAAAATTTTTATAATCTTAAAACTATGAATTCTTCAGCATAGAATTTTCACCTCATCTTTAGAAACAACGCTTTCATCAGGAGCTGCCATGTCGTCAGTAGAATAGTATTTTCGACTGTTGAATTGTTTCTTGTCAACTGATTGTATTGCTATCACCGACTGATATCGACTGAGACTTCCACAGGTAAACAACGAGAATCGTTGTAACAAATTCATTCTTTTTGCCTGAATTGATTTGATGGTCAATCGGAGAGAAACAAGGTAGACAGTTTCTTCTAGATACATTTCGTCGAGAATCACGTTCTACTTGTCAGTTATCAGGCATTTATCATTGGAGTCTATTCGTATCATTGAACAATTCTTTCCCTTTTTCTATCGTTGGGTTCAAATGCTTATCTTATATTTTCAGTGCAGACGGAAGCACAGACTCAAATATAAACAATGATATTGTAATATGATAACTATAACAAATGCTCTGAGAATACGATTATGAAATCAAAGTAACATAAACTGTGTTCCACAAACCACAGAAAACAATACTCAAAGGATCTTTAAGAATGAAATCGGACTTTTCTTCCACTTCTTGAAAAACAGAAACAAAACGAAACAAAATAAAAAAGGGTTCCTTATAAACAGGCGAGTATCGGATAAGTAAATTTGATATGTAATCATTAAAAATCAACCGGTTGTTGTTGTTATTTTCTGCCAAAGTTAAATGTTGACACTTCTTTGATGAAATCAGCAGACGCAGAAGGAATGTATTCTGAGAGTAGAGAAGACGTGATTCCAGAAGAGAAGAGATCAGCCAGAGTTTTGATTGGAGCATTCGCTAGAAGATTGTATGCATCCGTAGCCTTCATTCCGAAATTTTGGGTCAAAGTTCGAACGACAGTTGGATTTGGTTTCCACTTTTTTCCCTTCTTTGATTTGATTCCCGCCTCGGGATCTTCTGATTCCTGACTAGATGCCTCAACTTGATCAGCTTTCAATGAAATCGCTCGGTCTACGTCCGGCTCTGGAGCTCCCAACTGAAAAATTTGTATTTTTCTAATAATCTTTATGGGATTATGACTTTTAGCTCTGAGAAAAATTCAGCAGAATTGGTTGGTGACGTCGTCCAAACACATCTCATTTTAGGATTAGAACGAATCAGAGAACAGAACAATGAGCGGATTTCTCGGCAGTGACGACTGAGCTCTCCTTGAAACGGTCCTCCATTCACGATTTTGGTCTCAAACTTTCGATTCGACTCGATCAACAGAATTGTACAGTCATAATGTTCCAACATCTGAAAAGAATCATTTTGATTATTTTTTCAATTTTAGATTTCCATTGTGTACCTGTTCAATTTGTTTGAACACTCTTCCAGATTGCAAAGATTGCGTCAGGTCGTCCAATGCCTTCCTTTCAATTGCTATGTTCGGGGAAAGAATGTAATCACCAATCTGAAAAGAAGAGTTTCAATTGTTGTCTGGGAAAAACCATATTGTGAAACTCACCTCAATAGTTGTAGCCACCACATCATATCCTTTTGTGTACAGAACTGTTGGCAACTCGCTGTTGAACTCTCGCATATCCACAATGATCTACAATACCGATGAAATATCAAGATCCTCCTTGGTTGAATACCTTCGGTCTTTCCACATCTGTATCGGGGTCCAATTGATCTCTCGGATCGACATCTCGTCGTTGGATTCCTCCACCATCTCTTGTCGAAGTTTTAAGGCGAGGAGCTTCTTCCCTATCAACGTTGAATTCTCGAGAAATCATGAGAGTCTGTGGAAAACGTTTTTATATCAATTCGATTAGGAGTTCTTACTCCTTGTTCTCTAATCAACATTTCGAATGAGAGAGTCTCTCGATTGATAGATTCCAAGTATCTGCTTTCTTCAGTTGATTCTGTATACTGTAGCCAGTACACATGGAGTTGTTTATTGGGATTTGTGGAGCGATATATCTGAAATTATGGTATTCCTTGTGGCTTAAAGAAATGAGTAGACTTAGAAAATATTTTTGATCTTCTCGACCAAAAAGAAAGCGGGAATCTTGATGGGACCAATATATTCAAAAATTATGCATTTTTATTACCTCTATTTGCCTCAACGTTTGCAGAGACATTGTGTACAGAACCATTGCACTTGGTTTCTTTTGTTCCAACAGCTTCAACAAAACATATCGTTCTCTTTCGCGAGCAGTGCATACAATCAGTTCGGGCTGTAAATTCAGTTTCATACATTTCTTCCTCTCTTTTCTCATTCACATACTTTCAACTCTCCAATGCTCTTCGGATACTCATCAACCTCCTCTTCCTCTTCTTTTACTTCCCATCCTACACAGTGTGCCTCGGACGTCGTTGCCACCTGCAAAATTGTTTATACTGTAGCTTCCATCTTCCCTCTCCGTTTTCCATTCTCTATAATTATGTGGGCGGGCTCTGCACAGGGGCGGAGTCCAACTTCTGGCTTCCTGCTCTGGCGATTTAGGCATTAGTGCATTCATTGCGTGCACGAGGCAGGGGAGCTAGACGACAGCTTGCCCTTTTCTCTTCTTTTTTTTGCTCTTCGTGCCCATAATTCTATTGATTCGCTTTTTTTTTTTGAGACACAACGACGTCTCCTTTCCTCCTTTTCTCATTAACAATTTGAGGCTTTCAGGTAATAAAAAGACTGCTCTACGCGTGACTGCGTCAAAATGAGCAATCAAGTCAATGGAATCTCCAAGAGAGTGAGTTTCAAAGTACACATGATGACATAACAAAGTACTAAAATTCAGCTCATCGTTGAGTCACCAAACGTTAAGTTGGTCGATGGAGTTTTAGAGTCGAAGTTCAACTACCGTAAGAACCACTTTGAGCATCGTGCAGATGGACTTCATGTTACCCCGAAGGAGCATGAGTATTCGTTCAAGACGGTTCTCAAGCCACGTAAGACTGGTCTCTTGCTCGTCGGACTTGGTGGTAACAATGGATCCACGGCAGTCGGATCCATTTATGCTAATCAATATGGCATGACTTGGAGAACCAAAGAAGGATCCAATCAAGCAAACTATTTCGGGTAAGAGACTTTATCATTATTTTTCAGGTGCATGTTATTTTCGTGTGAAGAAAAATGATGTGGATTTCGAAGTTTTATATGAATTTAAAACTTTTCAGTTCCGTCACCCAAACTGCCACTGTGCACCTTGGTTACGACTCGGCGCTCAAAACCAAATATTCGTTCCATTCAAGGATATCGTCCCAATCCTCTCTCCGAACGATTTGGTTATTAGTGGATGGGACATCAGTAACTCAAACTTGTACGATGCTATGGCTCGTGCCAAGGTTTTCGAGCCGGAGCTCCAGGAGAAACTCCGCCCATTCATGGAGCCAATCGTTCCACTTCCATCTGTCTACTACCCGGATTTCATTGCTTCCAATCAAGGAGATAGAGCCAACAACGTGATTCCAGGAAGCAACAAATTGGAGCATTTGGAGCACATTCGTGCTGATATCCGAAAATTCAAGCAAGATCACGAGTTGGAGTGTGTCATCGTTCTCTGGACTGCTAATACCGAGAGATATACGGATGTTCGGACTGGTCTTAACACGACTGCTGATGAAATTCTGAAATCGATTGGATCCAACGAATATGAAGTCTCTCCATCGAACATCTTCGCAGTCGCTTCGATTCTCGAAGGAGCGCATTACATCAATGGTTCTCCTCAGAACACGCTTGTTCCCGGAATCATAGAGCTCGCCGATCGTCACAACGTTTTCGTTGGTGGAGACGATTTCAAGTCAGGACAAACCAAGTTCAAGTCTGCTTTTGTTGATTTCCTTGTGAGCAGTGGATTGAAACCAGAATGCATCGTATCCTACAACCATCTCGGAAACAATGACGGAAAGAATTTGAGTGAAGCGAGACAATTCCGTTCGAAGGAAATCTCGAAATCTTCGGTTGTCGATGATATGGTGAAATCCAATCAGATTTTGTTCCCAGATGCCAAGAACCCAGATCACTGTGTCGTGATTAAGTACGTTCCATTTGTCGCTGATTCGAAAAGAGCTATGGATGAATACATCTGCAGGTAATTCTAGCATCTTATTTCATTAAGTGACGTTGAATTTCCAGCATCTTCATGGGCGGAAAGCAAACATTTGTGGTGCACAACACTTGCGAGGATTCCCTTCTCGCCTCCCCACTTATTTACGATTTGGCTATCCTCACAGAGCTAGCCTCTCGTGTGACCTACAAAGATGGCGACGACTACAAACCATTCCACTCTGTTCTTTCCATCCTTTCTCTTCTCCTGAAGGCCCCTGTCGTTCCGCCAGGTACTCCAATCAGCAATGCCTTCATGCGGCAGTTCTCGACGCTCACCAAATTGGTGACTGCTCTGGCCGGCTTCCCATCTGACACCGACATGCAGATCGAATTCTTCACCCAGCTCCCACAGTCAAAGTGATAACTTTTAAATTCCTTCTTAATGTTTTTTGTCTTGTTGAATGAATTCTAGTGTGTTAGCTCTTTAGTAACTCACCTCATTTCCAGACTTTCTGCGCTTGTATTGAAGAATTCCGAATTGTATCAGATTGGTTTGAACACGAGAATCACTGGAAAACCCACTCAATTCTTCAGCGTGCTTTCTTCTTTTTTGAGCCGCCCTGGCAGTGGTTTTCTGAGACTTTTGCACATTAGCAATGACATCACTTTTTGACTCCACATCCTGAAAATCTTTTATTTTCATAATTTTTCAGCAGCCTAGTCTCACTAAAGTGCTTCTCATCAGCTGTGAAATCGTTTCTGGGTCCCAAAGTGGCTCATCTTCTGGCATTTCTTGTTTTGTTAGATATCCTAACTGTCTCCACGTCATCCACTTCATCTTATTGATTCCGTAGCGAACAACGTCTGTGACTTGACGAGAGAGATCTTCCGAATTGGTGATGATAAGTACAGATGGGGCTGAAATAAACTTACGTTGTTTTGAAGCTAACTTTTAGAACTTACAATTGTCTTTATACTCTTTTTTCTCCAGAGGAATGTTTTTAATCTCCCGAAGTACTTCCGCAAGAACTGTCCATTTAGCTGGCACTGCGAACTTTTTAGAGTCACCTTTTCCGTTTGTAACCCCAGCAATAGTGAGCAAATCTTCCATGATTCGATTGAACGAGGGAGACAAGAGCCATCCACTGTGTTCTTCAAGGACTGTTCTATCATTTTTCAAAACTTGTAATCGTGATAAAACGGTAGCCACATCCATGTTCTCAGAAAGTTGTAGAATTTCTCGAAGAGAGGCAACATCATTCAGAAGACGTTGTTGTTTTTCTGATATATTTCCACGTCTATCACGAAGTCTCTTCTCAAGTTGTGTAGTTGCCCAAGGAACATGAATCATTTCTTCAACGGGTTCATCGGTTTGTTTCCCAGATAGAGAAGACGTTCTCAAGTCTCGAACACATACTTTAATGAATTCGATGAGGGTTCGATGGACACGTCTCAGTGCTGTAGGTACATCTACCGAGAAGATTGCAGTTTTGAGTTGATATCTATTGAGTTCCGTTTCAATGATGCTAGAAAATCGAGGCATCAATTCAACATGGCGAATGTAGAGACGATCAACAAGTCGTTGCAATTGTCCAAGCGAGGAGAGTACATTGGGAACATCCGTGAATGCTTTTACCATACCATCTGGCTTTTTTTCACGATATAATCGGAGAATGAATGAGTCTTGGAAAGCGTTTAGCGTTCTAGAAATCCAAAGTTTATTGAGATCACTCACTTTTTTGAAACTTACTGGTGAGCTCTATATACAAAAATAGCCGCAATACGATCTACTGGTATTCGATTTTGGAGAAGATCGACTAGAAGAACACGACTCGAACAAAACTGAACGCCTCCCTCAAGGTAAATCGATTGACGATCCTTAATAGAAACTTCCGAGTTGATAACTTTTGGGTCACAATCAACGGAATGTTCTTTGAGTTTGGAAACAAAGTAGCTCTCATCGTGTTCGTTTGTATTCAACACAAGTGCCAACAGGCGACGATCAGAGAAGAGAATCAGATGTTCCAAAAAGAGACGTTCCAGTCCCAATCCACTGGCAACAACAAAGAGTACACTTGCCGGAAGGGTTTTGGCAAGTGTTGCTCTTTCATATTGCAAAAGCTCCAGTCCTTCCTTGTTTCCAAAACTATCATTTAACTGGGAAGAAGAACATTCGCCTGTGTCATCTTCTTCCATCTGAATTTCAAAACTTCTGAGAAAAAAAAGAACAAAAATCAGATACAAAGCGAATTGGTTCATCTGATAATCATTCAAGTAAAGTAATCACAATTATGCAACTTTATTATTTATTTTTCAACCTAAAAAACTATTCAAAAGAAGATATTAGAACTCCTTCGGAATGAGCGCGATACCAGCGTACGATCGTCCTTGAGACATTGGAGCCTGAAAAATCTAGTTTCATTTTGGAACAGTAAACTGACAGATCCTCACATCGACAATTTTCCATTGTGCCTCCGACCTTTCACTCAGTTGAATACATTCGATTGTTGACAAATTGCTTGAGCCATCATCACCACCAACAGCGTAGAGGAGACCTGTTAACAAATAGTTCAGATTTTATGCACAATTTGGTTATTTTTCAAGAAAATGTGTTGAAATGAACAACTTCATAAAAATCTATTTTTGACTACCGTACCATTCAACGCAGTTGCAGCAGTGTTCCTTCTTGGAATCGACATACTCGCCAGCTCCATCCATTCCTCGCCGATCAGAATCTGAAAAACAAAATTTAGAATTTTTCGTTCACTACCGATAAACGCGTTTCGAGTTTGATTTAGAAGAAAAGTAGTGAGAGATGTTTTTGAATCGGACACCGTCATTTAAAGGTGCAACACTCCTTTAGAGAAGAACTCTTACTGTAGTATAATGGTCCGCGCCGAACAAAAATTCATTTCTGACTTTTTTTCTGTCAAAATTCATACTCACCTCGGCTGATCGATGAATTTCTGGTCCTTTATGTCCTCCCACAGCGACTATCTTGTTATCATAGACTGTGACTCCGGCTCCTGATCGTACATTTAGCATTGACGGTCCTGGACGCCATTTATGAGCTCTGCGATCGAATATTTCTACCTGTAGATACAAGATATTAGTTTTTAAAAGTGATAATCAGACAAAATTTTTATTCTTATAAAATCTTATCAAACAATTTTAAGATCCCCGAAAAAGTCCAAATTTCGCTGGATAAGCGCCCTCAAACTGCGCCAGGGCACAGAAAAGGCGCCACATTGGCGTGTTTCTCGAACAACAGCCGAAACTCTCCTAATTTTCAAGATTCTTCTCCTATTTCTTCTAATTTCCACAGTTATCCTTTACAATAACTGTATGGTTAACTTCCAATAATCCATGTAGTCCATATTTGCTTATTTTTCGTCGCCAACTAGTCTCGCAGTAACGAAAATGTATGCTTCTACTACTCTGTGTGCGCTTTAATTCCCCTCTTTCCTCTTCATCCTCTCTTCACACTATGCTTCTCCCAATTCTCCGCGTTCGTCCGTTGTCTTGCTCAGCAGTGTATTCTTTGCCACGTTTTTCTTCCGCAAAGCGTTGCATCACTTTCCATCATGCTTTAAAAGTGTTTCGAAATCTCTTAAATTACTCTCGTATTTAGGTTTCCGTCGCTAATTCGTTCGATTCCACCAGCTGCTTATGGAAATCGCTCGATGCGATTGAATAATCTGCGGACACTTTTTCTGGGTCAAAAATCAAAACACCTTTTCAAACCATTTTCGTTCCCGTTTTATCGCTCACTTTGTTCCGCAGCTTCTGATAAATATCATTTCGTAAACGGTCATGTACGTATATTTTTCCGACCTGGTTGTAATATTTTCGCTTACATCACACTTTTCAGAAGATGTCGAAGGCCCCAACCGACATGTCGCCTTGGCCGGCATTCATTGATGAGAGGATCAAGCTCTGGGATAAGTTGAAAAACGAGTACGATGCAGAAATTGAGGCCAAAGAATCCGAACCAATCGAGATCACTCTTCCCGACGGCAAAGTGCACGAAGGAAAATCATGGCGTACCACTCCATTTGAAATTGCTGAGAGAATCTCGAAAGGCCTCGCCGAAGCCGCTGTGATTTCTAAAGTAAACGGAGTAGTTTGGGATTTGGATCGTCCTTTCGAAGGAAACGCAACTCTAGAGCTTTTGAAATTCGAAGATGATGAGGCGAAACAGGTTAGTACTTATTGTCAACGTTGTTTTCTAAAGTCTGTTCCTCTAGGTTTTCTGGCATTCATCAGCCCATGTTCTTGGAGAGGCTATGGAACGGTATTGTGGAGGACATCTGTGTTATGGACCACCAATTCAAGAAGGATTCTACTACGACATGTGGCATGAAAATCGCACAATCTGCCCGGAAGATTTCCCTAAAATAGACCAAATCGTCAAAGCTGCCGTAAAGGACAAGCAGAAGTTCGAACGTCTTGAAATGACAAAGGAGGATCTTTTGGAGATGTTCAAGTACAACGAATTCAAAGTTCGTATTATCAAAGAGAAAATCAACACCCCAAAAACCACTGTCTACCGATGTGGACCATTGATTGATTTGTGCCGTGGACCACATGTTCGTCACACTGGAAAAGTGAAGGCAATGGCTATCACCAAAAACTCGTCTTCGTACTGGGAGGGAAAGGCTGATGCTGAATCTTTGCAAAGACTTTACGGAATTTCGTTCCCAGACTCCAAGCAACTGAAAGAATGGCAAAAGTTGCAAGAAGAGGCTGCGAAGAGAGATCATCGTAAGCTCGGAAAGGAGCAGGACTTGTTCTTCTTCCATCAGCTCTCACCAGGATCTGCCTTTTGGTATCCAAAAGGAGCTCATATTTACAACAAGCTTGTTGATTTCATCAGAAAACAATACAGACGACGTGGTTTCACCGAGGTCATTACTCCAAACATGTACAACAAGAAGCTTTGGGAAACTTCTGGTCATTGGCAGCATTATTCTGAAGATATGTTCAAGATTGAGGTAGAGAAGGAAGAGTTCGGATTGAAACCAATGAACTGTCCTGGTCATTGTCTTATGTTCGGTCATATGCCACACACCTACAACGAGCTTCCTTTCCGTTTTGCCGATTTCGGAGTTTTGCACAGAAACGAAATGTCTGGAGCTCTTACAGGTCTCACCCGTGTTCGTCGTTTCCAGCAAGACGATGCTCATATTTTCTGTCGTCAAGACCAAATCTCTGAAGAGATCAAGGTATGTCTTAAATGTTGTACTCCACACATCCGGGTTTTCAGCAATGTCTTGACTTCCTCGAGTACGCTTACGAGAAAGTTTTCGGATTCACCTTCAAGTTGAACTTGTCCACAAGACCAGAAGGATTCCTTGGAAAGATCGAGACCTGGGACCAAGCTGAAGCCGATCTTACTGAAGCCTTGAATGCCACCGGAAGAAAGTGGGCTCTCAATCCAGGAGATGGAGCTTTCTACGGACCAAAAATCGACATTACTATTCAAGATGCTCTTAAGAGAAACTTCCAATGTGCTACAATTCAACTTGACTTCCAGCTTCCAAATCAATTCGATCTTTCATATTTTGAGTAAGCAAATTATTGAAATTTTTTCATAATGAAAAATCGTTTTCAGTGAGAAAGGTGAAAAGCAAAGACCAGTCATGATTCATCGTGCCGTTCTCGGATCAGTGGAACGAATGACTGCCATTCTCACTGAAAGCTATGGAGGAAAATGGCCATTCTGGCTTTCACCGCGACAGGTGAGACTATTTCTTAACCGAAGGAATCACAATTATTCCGATTTTAGTGCAAGATCATCACTGTTCACGAATCTGTGAGAGACTACGCCAAAGATGTGAAGAAACAGATCTTTGATGCTGGATTTGAAGTTGAATACGATGAATTCTGTGGCGACACCATGAACAAGCAGGTGAGTTCGTTTGTAGAGAAACTTTATAATGAAAATATATTTTCAGGTGAGAAACTCTCAACTTGCACAATTCAACTTCATCCTCGTTCTCGGAGCAAAGGAGAAGGAGAACGGAACTGTAAATGTGCGCACAAGAGACAACGCAGTTCGTGGAGAAGTACCAATCGAAAAGTTGCTTTCGAAGTTCAGAAGATTCGCTGACGAGTATGTTGCCGACACTGAGAAGGCTGAGGAATGGGAGTGAAGTCAATTAAAGTCTTATATTTTTGTTGTTAATTAATTTTATATCGATAATATAGTATTTATTGGTTACCCACATCGCCTACTGCATTCTATTCCTTTTCATTTGTTATTCTTCCTCTCCCGTTATCACCCAAGTTTGCTTTATAATTTTTTCCGTCTTGTAATGAAATACAGAAAAATCACAAACCGTGTTCAAACATTGCTTCGAAACTCCATCAAATCCTCCAATCGCATAGATATCATCTGCAATGGCAGCTACACCAACACTCGACCTTCTGGTGCTCATAGACGGAAGAGGAAACCAGCTTCCCGTTTTTGGCTCGAAATACTCTGAACTTGCCAATCCAGTAGTGCCATCAAATCCTCCGACAGCATACAATATATTATGGCACGTCGTCATGCCGTGTGTGGATCTCCGAGCGCTCATCTGATTCGCAGATCTCCATGTATCAGTTCGTGGATCGTAGTAATCCACAGATTTCACTCTTTGAGCCCCATTGAATCCTCCAGTCGTGTACACAAATCCATTACACATAGTCACTCCGCTTCGGCATCTTCTCTGTGGAAGAGGAGCACAGGAGCTCCAGAGTTGGCTATCTGGATCGAACAAATCCACATTTGTGATTGCTTTTGGAGCCTGACCGCCCACGATCATTATGTGCTGAAAATGGGGAATTCGGCGAATTCTGGAAACAAAAATGAAAAAAAAATCGTACTTGAGATTCAGGCATTGGTTCTCGAGCAACAAACCATTTTCTATTCATTTCTTCTCTATCATTCGAGGAGCTGAAATTTCGATAGTATTTTTTTTCAATTTTTTCAAGCATTAAACCTCGAACATCCTAATTTCAGCTGGTGGATTCCTTCAATAATTACATTCAAACATGCAACATCCTTTTTTATCTGGAAAAAGAAGTCGAAAAATATTATTCTTGGATAGAAAATCGGAGCTGTGGAAGAGAATCGCCAGTGGCCGAAGGTCCCACAGCCAAAAATACAGTAACCTAAAAATATTTTCAATTTCCGTTTTTTTTCCGTTGTTTATTGATTTGTCGTTTCTTTTGGTTATTTTTCCCAAAAAAAGTCGTAAAAGTTTTTTGATACTAAAAAATTTACTGAAAACGCACGAAAACAGAAAATTTAATTTTAAAAAACGGAAAAAAAATATTGCTAGGTTACGGTAGTTGCGGTTGTGGGACCATACGCTGATGGAACACACTTACCGTTTCATCATTTCTACATTTTTCGAGCAGGTAATCATCTCCGAGCAACGGCAATCTCACATTTGACATCAATCTGGAAGAAAAAGTATTGTTTATCTTCTTGAATATCACAAAAACTCACTCTCCCAAATACATTTTTCGATTCTGCTCATCATGATTGACCCAATTCAATACTGCCTGCATAACTGGTTTCTCATTAGGTACAGTAATCCTGTCATCTTGTATCAAATCGTAAAATGCATCTTTGTCTAGACTCAAAAGTTCCTCATTGTCTATTATTTCTCTGAAAAAACTTTCATATTGTTCTTCATCTTTTTAAGTTGTTATAACTCACACAAAGTGTTGTTTAGTATACAATTGAGCAGCATGTGCCAACTGATGACACGCATGAGCTCTGCAAATTCAGCCATTCCTACACAATTGGTCACATCCAAAAGTTCTAGCATGAATCTGGCACATGCATCTCGGACGCAAGTCAATTGGAGGAGATTAGCAGTGGCTAGAATCGTCTGAACATTCATTTCTTCTATTCGCATTCTTCCAGTGTACATATAATCGATTAACTGGGACAGGACCTCGACGTCAACTTCTTTTATAGGCACAACTCGTTGACTTGCTTCTCGTAGACCTCCAGTGAACATTGCTCTGAAATTCGAATTCGAAATCAAAAACTAGAATTTCCTTAAAACCTAAAGTAAGAACTAGAAGCCGAAAGAATAATTCGGTGCGCATGAATGTGTTGTGGTCCATTTAATTCATCTTTAACTGCTCCTTCTTCTAGTGAATGCCCTTGAATTGGATATGCTTCGAGAGTCACATCACATAGCTCTTGTTGACTGAAAATAATTCTATTTTAAATAGCAGAAAGTTAACGATATTTCAGACCATCGCATTGAATTCAAATTCTGGTAAAACTCGCTGAGCATTGTTGGATTTGTATAGACAGAAGTTTTATTGAAGCATGGAGAACGAGAGGATCCATGAGGTACACCAGTTCCAAGAGTATCAGATTCCACATTGTAGATATTTGGTAGAATTGTCATTTAGGTAGAAAAATTTAGAGAATGCACTTTTTGTCTAAGAAATAGAATGAAGAAAAGAGCAGAAGGGTCCGATGGAGAGAGCTCCCCGAGCATTAAGACGCAGGCACAAGAAGGAACTCAGCAGACAGAATGAGGGAGCAGACCATCTGTTCCCATTTCTATTGTGCGGGAAGCAGTAATCACTGAGATTTCTACAACCGTATAATGCCCCGGTCCATATAATGCCCTGGTATGGATCTTTGAGTTAATGTCCTGATCAGGTGTAGTTCTCAATTCAATGCGTATGTCTAAGCTGTCAAAAGTAATCAAATTCAAAAGTATAGTTTTTGAAAATACGATGAATCGCTGAATCTTCAATGATCCACAAAATTTGTACCTACAGTAACCTAATTTGGTCATTGCCGTATTTCATCCTTGGTGTTTTCTTCAAAATAATTGAATTCTGTCTTTTTATCTGGCTATTTATCATTTTCCTATTTAATTCATCATTGCTCCAGGAAGTTCGAATATCTTTGGGAAAAAACGAATAAAACTATCATGTTTACAGTATATTTGTCAGATCGCCGTAAAGTCACCCTTGTCCTCCTTGAAATATCCCTTTAACCTAACTACTGTATTCAAACTTTTTTGAATCAACTTCGTTCAATACCTGGTTCTCAATGGGGTTATTATTTAGTAGATTTTTGATTAACATTGCTAGTAGGCTTTTGTCTGTATGTTTGTCCCCAATGTGTACTCTCTGAACCTCTCTCTATCCTCATTCGAATGTCATTTTCTCCGCGCAAATTGTACATTGTCTGCAAACACCAGGGCGCAACTCTGCGTACATTTCGCAACTGGCTTGTAATTTTGGTTCCACCACATTTTGAGATTCCACCGATTCCGAGGAAATCGGGGTTTACTTTGCAACTGCCGCACGGTTCAACTGCGGCACTGCAAAAATTGAAACTCCGCCCCGATTTCCTCGGAATCGTTTCCTCGGAGACAACCCCTTCCTCGGAATCGGTGGAGTGTCCACATTTTTGGCGATTCTGGCTACCAATTAATCCTTTTTAAACATTAAAATGATGAATAATTATAAAACAGAATATAAATCATAACCTTCTCTCTTTTACTTTCTATTTCCTTCTTTATGCATGTCCTAAGCTGTTAATTGTAGGTAATAAGATGGACTACGACGTCATCGCCAACCAGCCAGTGGTTATTGATAATGGATCTGGAGTCATTAAAGCCGGATTCGCTGGCGAGCAACAGCCGAAAGTTCGATTCGCCAATTTTGTCGGACGACCAAAATATCATCGTGTTATGGCTGGAGGACTAGAAGGGGACATATTCATTGGTATTTAAACTTATAAGTGAAAAATAATAGTTTTAATATTGTAGGTTCGAAAGCCGAATCGAACCGTGGCTTGTTCTCCATCGAGTATCCAATGGAGCACGGAATTGTCAACAACTGGAGCGATATGGAAAAGATTTGGGAATATATTTTCGGCCCGGAGCAGTTGCAGATCTTCCCTGAAGAGCATCCTGTTTTGCTCACCGATGCTCCGTTGAATCCCCTGAAAAATCGCGAAAAGTCGGCAGAAATCTTCTTCGAAACATTTAACGTTCCCGCACTATATATTCAAATGCAAGCTGTTCTTTCGCTGTATGCTACTGGAAGAACGACAGGAGTCGTTTTGGACTCCGGAGATGGAGTCACTCATGCTGTCCCAATCGTCAAAGGATTTGCTATGAAGCATGCGTAAGTTTTAAAATAGAGTTTCTCGAAAATGTTGGTTCTCTTCCAGAATCCAACGAATGGACTTGGCTGGTCGTGATGTTACCGAGTACCTTCGTGTTCTTCTCCGCCGCGAGGGATACGAGTTCCATCGAAGCAACGAGTTCGAAATCGTCAGAGAAATCAAGGAGAATTCTTGCTACCTAGCTTCAGATCCAACCAAAGTCGAAGGAAACTCTGTCAAGCAAGTTTATTCGCTTCCGGACACAACCAAAGTGGAACTTTCAAACTCGCTGTTCCGTGCACCGGAAGTTCTTTTCAAACCAGATTTGATCGGCACAGAATGGCCAGGAATGGCGCATCTTATCAATCAGTCAATTATGGTATGTGCTTAAAATATGTAATCGTAGTATATTATTTTGATTTACAGAAGTGTGACATTGATCTCCGACAAACGCTGTACAGCAACATAGTTTTGAGCGGAGGAACAACATTGTTCAAAGGTTTTGGAGATCGTTTGCTCGGCGAAGTGCGAAAGATCGCTCCATCCGACGGAAAGATCAGAATTTCGGCCTCACAAGAACGATTGTCTCTCACATGGATCGGAGGATCAATCGTAGCAAGTCTCGATACATTCCGAAAAATGTGGCTTGGAAAGAAGGAGTATGATGATGTCGGAGCATCAGCACTGCACAAGAAGTTTTTCTAATCTTATTTACCACGTTTCCCTCTGTGTGAATAGTACCCATGTCTTACATCTAATTGAGCTTCCCTTTCCTTTTCTTTGCTCCTTTAATTTATTTTCTTCTCTTTCGTCCTATATTTTCTGATATCTGATAATTTGTTGTTTTGGCGCTGGCTCCTTACGTGTTTTCTTCTCAAAATAGGCGACCTTCCTAATGTTATATATCCCGATCCTCTGGACATAATTATTTTCTCGAACCCCTGTTTCAGTCACTCCCATTTGTCCTGTCCCCTATTCGCTTTATGCCTGTGTTTTAAGATTGTCCTTATTTATATAAACGATTCGATTTAATTTATCAAAGCTAAAAGTCACACACTACAAACACACTACAAGTAACTTGTGACCTCTGTGAACACAAGGGATGAGGGTCATTTCGGAGTATATTGGGGAAGACGTGCCATGTGTGTAATCTACCTGACTTGGAAAATTGAAGATAACATCAAAACGTCAAGATGCTATTTCCCAAGATGATATGTTTTTTTCTCCTCCCACTTTTTTTTAGAAACTGGTTCTTCTCCGTTTTTTCAAACAATTTTTTTCTTCAAAAGTAGTCATTTCAACCGGCCTCACTCATTTTTTTCTTGAGAAGACAGTATTGGGTTTCCGTTTAAATCTTTGAATCATGCGGGTTCAAATATCAATCTTTTTTGTTATTTTAATCACTTTGATTTCTGCTGAAAATGTATACAAAGTTCGGAAATTGTACAGAAGGTAATATGCTTGTAAGAAGAAATGGGAGCTGCGGAAACGCAGGTGATCGTGGGCGAAGCCAGAGATGTTCGGAATGGCCTTTTTCGGAATTTCGGAATTCCGCAAAATTCCGATTTTAAAAATTTCCGAATTTCGGAACCTCGGAATTTTCCGATTTTGAAAAATTCCGAATTTCGGAAGTTTCGGAATTTTTCAAAATTCGAATTTTACAGCGGGAATTTCTTTTTCCCATCACAAAAAACGCAAGAATCTTTCGAAAATGGACAGAAATATTTCGACAACGCAAAAATTATCAAAACTGATTATGTTCGAAACACGCAGGTAAATTGTTCCTGGCATACTGTAGTCGAATAAATTTTAATTCCGAAAAAATGTTTCGGAAAAATTCCGGTCAGAATTTCATTCCGAAAATGGTCGAAATTTTCGGAATTTTCGGAATTCCGAATTTCGTTCCGAACATCCCTGGGCGAAGCATCCACAACGACAACTACCGTAACCTAAAATATGTTAATTCTCCGGATTTTTTCTCGTTTTTTGTGCGTTTTCAGTCATTTTTTTGCACTCTCAAAATTTTAATTTTCTGAAATTTCGGAATATTTCGATCTTGTAAATTTTGGATTTTCGGAATCTCGGAATTTTCCGATTTGTAAAAAGTCCGAACTTGGGAATATTCCGATGTTAAAGTAGAAAATTTTAATTCACAAAAAACACTTTTCATTCACAAAAACGCCGAAAATCGGTGGAAAATTGACAAAAAGATTTTGAAACGCAAAAAAATTGGAAGTAATTCTGCTTGCAAGCAATTTTTTCGCGACATACCGTAGACCGAAAATTTCTTATTCCGGAAAAAGATCAGATTTTGATTCCGAATAAAGAACTTCGGGAAGATTCCGGTCGGAATTTCATTGCGAAAATGGACGGAAATTTTCGGAATTTGAGGGAATTTGAATTCCGTTCCGAATATCCTTGAACTCGACGAAAAGCAGTGAAAAACGAGAAAGCCACTATGAAAAATAAATATATTTTTAGGTTACGGTAGTTGTCGTTGTCGGACCTTTGCCACCGGCGTTTCTCTTCCACAGCTCCGATTTTTTGTACTAGAATAATAACGATAAACCCAATTTCCGTGATTACTGTACAAAACTTAAGATCCGACACCCGTCGTTCCGCAGCAGATGATGATTTGGATATGGCAGCAGCTGAGCTTGTATTTAAAGAAAAACATTTTTTGAAATCAGGCGGAGACCAAATTGAAGGACCACCCAGAAAACTTCCATTCGGAACCGAACACGCTGCATCTGATAATGTATGTCATTGTAGCAAAGTCACCTAAATGTTTTTGATTTTAAATCTCTTCCAGACTGGCGCTCCATCGGCTGAGCTAACCTTCGCGGAGCTTCAAAAAACACATCTGGAAGATATTGAAAAAGAGGAAGGTACATTAAAAAGTAGCATGATTGGAGAGGGAACAGAGAAACTAGAGGAAAACGAAGGATCCTTGCCATCCGAAACTCCAAAAGCTCATGGTTTGGAGAAAAATACATTCTCTGGAGGAGTCAATGATGGATCTACATCATCGGTCTCCTCGTCTGGTCTTTTATCATGGCAGCAGTGGGTTTTATGATTTAGTTTTAAAAGTAATCTTTTATCTTCAGACCTCTTCCTTCTCAAGGCGTCTTATTGCGTACGACTTCCATGTGAATCCAGAATATCCACAATTTGCTCCAAGAGCTCGTGGATTGGTAGGAATCCCGGATGGTTGGAATCTCGACAAACAAGTCGATGAGGAATTCCGATCTGGATTTAGAAAAGTTGATTTCAGAAGAAGAATATTTCTCCATTGATTAGACTTCATTTTTAATCACTTTGATACTCATGTTGGAACCCAAAATTCTTTCAATAAAATCTATATTTAAAACTTTATTCGTTCATGATTTCAGTTTTGGCTTCTACAGTACTCTTTGCAGTTCTTTTAGAAAATAACGATCCGATCACAGACATTCTTCTTGGGGTCTCCTCCTTTCGAATTTCAAATGGATCTTCTATTGGCTTCTGAATAACTGGATGTTCTGGAAAAAGAATTTCCAGCGGAGAAGACGGAGCTCGAGGGTTTGCAGGTTTCGCAGAGAACTTTGCCTCGAACTTCTTTGCGAGGTATGAAACTGCTTGAGATCCCTGACGAATCGAACTGAAAAATATAGAAGATCTGAGAAGAATACAAAAGAAGGCGAAGATTAACAACACCGTACATCATATTCTTTTGGTTATTTTCAACAACTGTAGTTTCCATTGGGTTACTGTATCGGCATGTAGAGAGGTCGGAAGCATTCGAGATGCTAGTGCGGATGGTTAGTGGGAGGCACGTGGAAGATCGGTTTGAGTTGGTTTTCAGAGAAGAATTCTCGATTTGAGTACTATCGATTGTGCCGTCATGAAGTGGGAATAAGTTCATGGAACCTCTGGCTGACTTCAAGCTGATAATTGTAAAACGATTAGTCAACAATTCTTGGTCAATATCGCTATCTGAAATAATATTTTAAAACTGATTTCTTGCTATCTGGATACCTTTAGCAGTGTATGAGGACAAATCGTTGAGAAGATTTCCATTGAAAGAATCGTCTTCGAAAATTGCGGAGATAGTTTTTCTGAAAGATATCGTTATTTCAATAAAGAATCCATTACTGGCTGAAATAAATATCTTCAAGATACCTCCAAATTGGAATTTGATTTTTCAAAGCGTCAGTCACAAATAAAAAATTTGCAAATCCGAAGCCGTACTTCAAAGTGATTCTGCACGACTTCTGAAAGAACAAAAATAAATTCAAAGCACAAAACCAACAAATTAACCTCCATAGTCTGCTCTTTCTCTTGCTTAAAATACGAAATTTTCATCTTAATTGCCTTCGTAATATCAAACGAGTATCCAGTGCAATTGGTCTCATAAACCAACAGAATGTCGTCAGGAGTCAAAATCAAAACTCTTTTACGACCTGGCAAGTTTTGTTTCATACGGAAAACGGCGGATCTTTTAGTGAAGAATATCATGACAAAGTCTCGGAGAATTGTGTTCGAATCGTTCCATGCGCATATATTTGGAAGTTGTTGTACTTTTGTCACACTCTCGGATAACGGTTCTTTTCTTTCAGTGCATAATGAAGTGGACATCTGGAAAAATTGAGGAAGTAAAAAGAATGTTTCCGACTGACACATTATTAGGAACATTATTTCCAGGGTTGAGCGAAATTTTTTTCTCGTTTTTTCCGGTCAGTCCTTGAAAAACATTTGACAAAAAATTTCGGAACACTGGAAACGAAAAAAAATTGGTCCAAAATTTTTTTGGTCGGTTTCGAAGTATTTTGTACAAAACATAACTTAGAAAATTTTGTTGGATTAAATCAAGAAATTCAAAAATGTTCAGTAAATATTCTAGAGAATAAAAAAGCTGAAAGTATATCGAAAATATGTTTCGACCTGGAATTTCAGCCTAAAACTGGAAGCTGTATTTTTCCGGGTTTTTGGTCAAAATTTCCGAAAAGCATTTCCAAAATTTTTTTCGGAGTCTAAAACTACAAAATATTTTTGGAGGTCGTTTTCGTTAGCCCTTATTATTTCCTTAAAAATACCAAAATGAAGGCTTTCAAAAAATTGATTTATGTTTTACTGAAATTCGAAAAAATGACTAAACTTGAATAGTATGAATACCTAAGAAACCTTTCCTCATTCTTGGAATAAATGCAGTATCAAAGCTGAAAACAAGCTGACTAGGTTTTCGAGATTTAGCTATATTTATTGTGAAGTTACTGTAATTCCTCTCAGAGCTAATTTATCTTGGTTCCTGTAAAAGATGTCGCAAACTTGTCAATTGATAAATTATTCATCATAATATCACCAATATTTTATCAGTTGACAAAAATTTGATGTCTTTCACAGGAATTGAGATAATTAAGCTCAAAGTTAAGGGTTTGGGTGTGCTTCTATTAGAGGAAACACGAATTTGAGAAACGAACATTAGTTTGATGTCAGAATGTTTCCTAATTCTAACTTAAAATATCAGTTTTTATAGCTCCAAAAGCTGCAAAATCTGAAGAAAAATATGAGGTTCTCACCTTCTGAATGTTTGTGGAAAAAGTGAGTTTCTCACTCTATGAAAATAAACAAACATTTTTCCAAAGATTCTCCTTTCAGTTTTTCCCAGACCCAGTCGTAGTATTATTGTTTTATTTTGCCCAACTTACAATTTCATTTGACATTCCTTGATTACTGAGAACTACCGTATCCGGTGGCTCTCCTGTATCCTATCCGAGTGGTCAGTCTCCACGATCCCAAAAAAAAAAGCTCACACACGTCAATAAATATGGATATAGTATGGATATAATATATAAATATGGATATAATATAGTGGAATATCCACATTCTGGGGTCCTAGATTTTAACCTACTTTGACGTGAAAAATTCTTTCCAAAAAGCTAAGAAAAAAACCTGTCACTTTTTTGTTCCATCAAAAAAAAGCATCCTGACCTCCTCTCCAAAAAGTGGCCAGAAAAACTGTGCATATAAATTGTCATGCATTTTTTATTATTGTTTAGTTTCTGTTTGTGGTGGTTGTATATATATATATATATGTGTATTGTGTGTGTCCTCAAGAAGAGAAAATGATGTTTCTGAAAAGAAAAAGAAGACTCTGACAGGAAGCTCTTTACCCGATCAACTAGGTTATGCAAATCTGCATAATCCAAAACCCAGAGAAGGAATACGCCCTTTGTTATCAATTTTCTGGTTCCACGTACTCTTTTTAGTAATCGATTTTCCTCTCCCCTGATAACATGTACTCTTTTTCTATATACTATGACTCTATAACACTCCCCCTCTCCATTTTTCTCTACAAACTGAATAAAATAATTGGAAACATAACGTAGATTTTCAATACTGCAGCTGTGTGAACAACACTGCACTGTTTGCTTTTTTCTCCCGTTCTCACTGAATTCCATTTTTGATATAATTTTTTTCTCTCTTTTATAATGATTTTCCATCTGAAAATGTGAATTCTTCTTTTCTATACCCCCCTTCAGTGCCTTTGCAAACAAAACCATCAACAAAAAATATTCAAAAACTTTTCAGCCCCGCACACATTGATCTCTTTTTATATGCCATCATCATGCGTTTTCATTTTGTTATGTAGAAACTAAAAAAAAGTTTTCGATGTTAATTGTCAATTTCAGATTTCTCTTTTAGATAAAACTTTTTTTTGGTAATTAGTGAAACCGTTTCGAGAACTAGTTTCTATCAGTACATTTTAAGTTCATTCATGTACCTATAAATTTTCATTCTGCAAATTTTTAATTTCTCTAGTATTAACTGTGGTTCAGATCCAAGTCCAGTTTCAAAAAAACCTGTGATTTCGATTTCTAACGATCTTTAAAAAAATCTACATTAAATAGATTAAATCCAATCCTAGATTTTCTAATCACCTAACATTAAAAAAAAAAAACTTCAATTTCAATGGCCAAAGATCCCACAAAAATGACTTTCAAGGGAAATACTTCGAAAGGACATTAAAATGATTCCCAGCTTTCTCATCATTATTTTCATGATGTCAAGTTTTTGGAGATGTCAGAAAATGTCAAAAAGATGGGCGAGAGTCAGAGAAATTTTGCCGACAACAATGGTTTTTGAAAATCGCCGAAACTTTTGCACCAAGCTGATAAAATTCAGCATTTGAACGGTTTCAGACTACCGTATTTCCTCTAATAGGAGCCCACCCAAGCCGTCAACTTTGAGCTCAATTATCTTGATTCCTGTGAAAGATATCAAAAAATTGTCCACCAATAAAATATTGCTAATATTATGATAAACAATTTATCAGTTGGCAAATTTTTAATAGCTTTCACAGGAATCGAGATAATTGAGCTTAAAGTTAATGGAGTTCAATTAGAGGAAACGGTAAATTCCATTCAAGAAATCTCATTTTTAAGTTCTTACTCATTTTTCTTCCTTTTTTGTTGCCTTCTTCTTTTCCATAGATCCCCTTCATATTTTTTGCAAAAAGGCGTTATACATTTTTGTGACAAGCACTTCCTTCCTACTACATAAATAATTCCTGAACTCAAGAAACTGGACAGTTTTTTCTTACTGTAGCATTCCTAAAGAATAACATATGACCGCCGTTCTAGAATAATATTCTAGAATAATTGATGAAGTTCCAATAGTGTTTTCGGGTATCTCTAGAGTTAGTGGTCTAGCAGAATTCAAAGAGAATTGAATGAGAGGCTTGATGTATAATACTAACTATAAAGACTTCAGAAAAGGTTACTGTAGAGATAATCTCCGTTTTGGGGTTCTGGAAATTCTGAAATTAATCTTCTGGCTCTCATCTCTATTCTTAAAATTGAATGTTACGAAGCCATTTATAGAAAAACGAAACCCTTCAAATCATCCATTTAAATGTCGCTGATCAGGCCAACGAACAAAAATGTTCTTTCACATTTTCTCCTCCTCGGTCTTTTTTTCACCACAAAAAAAGAGAAGCGGTTTGTTTCGTTTGTCGTCATAACCATAAATCGAATACAATTTTTTTTCATGTTTTTGGAATCACTTTTTCACACTCAAAGTGGCATAATTCTGATTTTAGGAATCAGTTATTCTAATTGGGAGGATGCCTTCTCTGTTTTTTCTTCTTCTTCTTCTTCTTTTTCTCTTTCACGAAAAGGGATACAACTTTGTTAATGCGCTTCTCAAATGCTCTCTCTTCCTTTTTATAACTTGTTCTTCTAATTCTGCCAATTTGATAATTGAGAGCTTCTACTTCTTCTTCTTCTTGTTTTTCTCCTCCTGACGTCTTCTTGTTTGCCAACTCATTCCATCAGAATCTCGAAAAGCAATTTGATGGCTTGTTTTACGACACGGCAAATACGAAACCCCAAAGGCACACACACACCTATCAATTTGGATATACACTTTTCTGATTGGAGCCGACACTCTCATTTCCTCACGTCTTCAGTTTTCTCCCCTTCTCCTCTTTTTCTTTTCCCACCACTTCTTTTAATTTAACGTCTTCTCTTCTGGAATCTCGTCTCTTTTTCACATTTTATGAAATACAGTGACATCAAACTGGAACATGATTCTCTTACACACTTTTCATCAACTTCATCTTTCTTCAATTTCCCACCTTTTCCTTCTCTGTGCTTAAAAAAAACAAAAAAAAAGCCAGTCAACTCTTTTTTTTGCGGTTACTATGCAACCATTTGTTGTCGTTGATGTTGGAGTGCGGGGGACTGAGAGATTCTTTCGAAAAATGCTCTTTTTTCACTATACATTTTCCAGTTTTTGCAGGGATAATTATTCCGGAAATGACGCTGAGGAATGTCAAAATCTTCTTTGCAAGGTGAGAATTTGAGCTAATGAGCATGGAGTTTGATTCTTTATTACTATTAGTTTTAAGCTTCAGTATTCAGAAAATGGGTCCTAATAATTGTTTTCCGAAACATTTATATTTTCGTAAAAATTGAGAAAGATAAATATAGATTTGTTTTGGAGAATCCACTTGAATCCAAATCGGAACGGATGCATTATGTCATCAATTGACACTTTTTATAATATCCAAAATTGTATGCCATTTAAGAATTGAGGCATTATAAATTAAGATTTTTGGGACGTCCTGGATTAAAAAAATTAAAATTTTATAACTTTTGAGTTAGGTTTTGTGACAAATAAAAAATGTATACCATAAACACTTTGACAGAAAGACCCCTTTATCTTCTAACTTTGAGCCAGTTTATCTCAATTCCTATAAAAGATATCAAAAAGTGGTCAACTACCAAAATATTTTTGACATTATGATACATATTTTGTCAGTTGACCACTTTTTGATATCTTCTACAAGAAATGAGATATATGAGCTCAAAGTTGGCGGTTCAGATGACCTTCTATTACAGTGTTTCCTTTATGAAGAATTCCTTTAGAGAGAAAATACTTTTTTTCAGATGGAAATATTTGATGTTCGCCTGTTGTGTAACATATCTACTAGTCGTATATGCCCCTTTTCCAAACTCTGTAAGTTCTTTTTCTTTCCATTACTAGTCATTCCCAAAACATTCAGAATCAAAAAAATTGGCGAGAAGGAGAAATCGAGCTGAGTAATGAACACGAGACAGAGAAAACAGAAGCTAAAAAAGAAGAAGAAAAAACCGACAAGAATAAGGTATTTAAATTTAATCCAGTTGGAAAAGAACCATTTGATGTGGAGGAAATTCTGACCTCGAGTGATATAAAAATATCAGAAAGAATGAATGCAAATGTGAAACCAGGTATTTTAATTCCTTTTGCTCTATCATATTTCCATTTCTTTCTTTCAGGCGAAAAGCGAATAATCCTTTCCTGGAACGCTGGTCATTCACCAGATAATCTACAAGGATGTCCTGATTGGAATTGTGAGTTCACTCAAGTTCGTTCAAGAGTAAATGAAGCTGCGGCGGTTTTGATTGCTCACAATGACCCAGATTTCAAACCAACTCCTGACCAATATGTTCTATATTTTAGTCAAGTGAGTGTAGTTGAAGAAAGTATATAAAAAAAAATGATCAAGTTTAGGAGTCACCTGCAAACTCTGGAATCTCATTACCAAGAACTGATTTTGTGAATATGACGTTGGGTTTCCGACATGATACACCTGCTGGATCTCCATATGGATATTCTGTTAAGTTGGGACCAAAATCTAGACTGCAAGGACCGGTGAGTAATTTTTCGGATAAGTCATAAGAGCCTAACATACAGTACCGGTCAATAAGATAAACAAAAGACATATTTTTCAGTTGCTTTTTAGCCATTTTGACCATTTTTTATTTTTAGCCATTTTGACCATTTTTTATTTCTAGCCATTTTGACCACAGGAGTATGGAGCCCAAAAACCGGTCAAACTTCTTCAAGTCACTTCTCCAAGTTTTCGAAGTGATCGGAACATAGACAGCCGGGCTCCAGACTCCTGAAAACGGTTAAAATGACCAAAAATCAACTGAAAAAATATGTTTTCGAATATCTCATTGACCGGTATTGTACATTTATGAGTTGTTTTGTCAGAGACTGCAAATATCTAAAATCTTCAAACTTTTTTTTTTTAATTTCTAGGTTGTGGATGCCAGTCTAGTCAAAGGAAAATCAAAAGGAGCTGCTTGGTTTGTGAGCCATTGTCAAACGAGTAGTAGGAGAGAAGAGTTTGTTCGAAGACTGCAGGTTCGAGTTTTAATATTTATATTTTTTTTTGAATATCTCTATGCTTATCCAGAAACATATTCAAATTGATATCTATGGTGGATGCGGTCCAATGAAGTGTCCGAGAGGAAATAAGAAATGTGACACTATGCTGGATACTGAGTTAGTTGATTTCTCTTCGATATCGTGTAGAAATCATAATTTTTTCAGCTATCACTTCTATGTGACTTTCGAAAACTCCATTTGTCAGGATTACGTAACAGAGAAACTGTGGAAGTCTGGATATCAAAATACAATCATTCCATTAGTTCTGAAAGTAAGCTATTTTTGAGAAAAATCATTTTCAGTCATCTTATTTTCAGAGAAAACTTGTTGAGCCATTTGTCCCTCCGAACAGTTTCATCGCTGTGGACGATTTCAAAAGTGTCAGAGAAATGGGAGATCATTTGAAATACTTAATGAGTAACAATACGGCATATATGTAAGCCTCATTCTCATAATTATTTCGGTTCGATGAAACCTTGTCTCTTATTAAAACTAGTACACTTTCTTTCCCTAATCCGCTAATTTGCAGGGAATATTTCGAATGGAGACGTGACTACAAAGTAATATTCCTGGACGGATCTCATCATGACGTTTTAGAAAGGCCGTGGGGCTTCTGCCAAGTATGTCGAATGGCTTGGACGGATCCACGTCAGAGGGTTATTATACCAAATTGGGATGTGTATTGGAGGCAGTCGTGCGAGAAGGATGGAGAGTTGGTGAAGTCGATTCCAGATGTTTTATAATTCAGTTTTAACTTTTTTATACTCATTAGTTTATTGGCACGGGTTCTTTGTATTCAAGTTGTTCCTTTTCTAGTCACGTTGTTATTTATTTTTATTTATTTCTTCAATTGGTCCGTTTACACATTTCTCATGGTTTTTTAATGGGTACACAACAATTGTGATATGAATGAAGTATAGTGATTCTAATTCTTCTTCTTTTTCTTTTTCTTTTCCTATTACATTCTTATTTCCAATTTCCGTTCAGGATAATCCCACGATCAAGTGCACGGTGTCCTTTCCTCATCTCTTTTCCTCCGTTCCACTTCAAAACGAAATGTTTGACAATTCGTTTTCCTCTCTCCCGCAGCACGCCTTCGACCTCCCTGCAATCCATTGTGCTCGAGTGAGCTCTCAATTTCGTCCACTATGTTACCACAACAACACAACACTACTCTTTTCTCTTCGTCTCGCGTCATCCGGGGAACAAGAAAATTCCCTTATATTCCTTCTTCCCCTTTGCTCTCCACCGCCGCTTATACTTTTACGTAAATGGCACAAAATCCGCTTTTAGTGTTACGTTGCAAGAATTCTAGGGATACCTTCTCTTCTTCTTAAAAAATATCCGAATTCCAAAAACACGACTATCACTAGATGGTAAACATTTTCTTTTTCTTCTTATTTTACTTCCTTTTCCTGACAAAATGTTTGTGTACGAGCCGCTCTGGAAGATGCAAATACATTTGTAATTGTCCACACATTGACCATCCCCTTTTGATAGTATACGACTCTCGCTCCTAGTCACGAAAAAGGACGACGAATCGCAAATAAAAAATAAGAGTTTTGTATTTTTGCAGTTATCACTTTTTGCATGATGTGATATTAAGATGGACGAGAAGAAGCAGAAGAAACATAACAAGAATTCGAAGAAGCCTGATGTTCCCCACAGCTTTTATTTTTATCTCGTTTTGAGGTTTTTAGCAACGGTGAGTTTTTTTTTAAACGGATACAAAATGAAACGAACTCGAGTGATCAAGGATATAATTTAGAAATTCTAAAAATTTTCTATACTTTTTGGTTTGTATGAAATAAGCTACCGTAAAAACTGTAATAGAAGGTCTTCTTAACTTTAATCCTTGAGTCAATTTTTCTCGGTTCCTCTGAAAAATATCAAAAAGTTGTCCACTGATAGATTGTTTATCATAATATCACAAACTGTTCATCAGTTAACATATTTTTGATATCTTGCATACAAATTGAGATAATTGAGCTCAAACTTGTGGGGGCCCTACTTTTACAGGTGTTACGGGTTATTCTAAAAGTTTAGTTTCACTGCCTAAACCCTATTTTATTTTCAGATCTGCTGCATTATTGTAGTCTTCATAATCGGTCTAAGCCAATATTGGACAAACCGAGTTTCTGCAGTTTTTGGAATGGTGACTAAAACTATTTTTTGAGGTTCTTACCAGAAAACATTTTTCAGCTCTTTGTGATCATTGCGTTGCTTTTTTCGGCGTCCGCTGTATCTATCCTCTTCATTTGGGATGTCAATACAACAACAATAGTCAAGGTATTATTAGAACATTTCAATAGAATTCTCAATTTTTACAATGTCAAATTGTTGTTTTCTATACCTTTGTCTAAACATCCTAAAAGCAATATCGCCAGCTTGACTGAAAAGTACTATTTTCCGGTAATTTCTCTGAAATTTAAGTTTTAGATTTCTTTTAGAGAAAGGCTTTATTTACTGGAAAAAATGATTAAGCGTTCCAAACTTGCATTTCACTGTTTAAGGCATATATGTGCAATCAGTGCTTTCTATCTTCTTTTTTTCATTTAGAGTTTTCAGTAAAACACAATTACATATTCAATTTTTACGTAGTCGATTACATGAACAGACAAATTTTCACTTCGATCCTGATCTTCTAGCCACAGTTACAGACATTCAAACATTCAAAACACCTCGAACAAAAAAATAGGCCCCGCCCCTTTTTTAATCATAAGAGTGGGGTATTTAATTTATATTGTTCATTTCAGAGATGCTTATTTTCATTTGTCTACGCACTATCTATTCTAATAGCCGCCGTGATGTTCCTTATCGCAAACGATGGTTGTGATCCTCGAATGATTTCTCAATTCGGTTGCTACCAGTCCGTTTCCACTGGAACTTTCCAAGTTTCATCCGCTTTTTGTTTCCTGATTTTTGTATTTGGTCTCCTGGATCTGGGTCTGAATGCATTCTACTTCTGGCGGAATTCAAAACGCTCCCCAATTTATGACTATCCGCCGCCATCTGTTGCCGTCGTTGAAACGGAAAAGTGGGTCGAAATTTGCATAACATATTTTGGGAGAAAGTGTGAAGATCATCATGAAGAATAATTATTTTGTTTCAGAACTATTCATGACATCTACATGGAATACCAAAGAAAAGGACAAACTACTTCAGTTTGAATTATATATGCGATTTCAGTTATCATAATAAGTGTCTTTGTTTTTAATACTGCCAAAGTAATAAACAATTTTTATTAATTATAATTTTTTAACATTTAATTAATACACATTTAATGACCGAAAATGATATTACGACATCGGTTTTTATTAGAAAAAAGTTGTTTTTGAAAAACAAATATTGCACAAAAATGATTTGGAGGAAGAGGGAGAGAGAATGGAAAGAATTGGGGAACCTTGAATTAGAAAATCTAGCGAGAGAAGAAGAAAATGGGGTTTCTATCCGTATTATTTTTTGAAGTTGGATGATGAGAAGAAATGAAAAAAATCACTGACGCAGTGCAGTCACAACAGATGCTCTTTGAGCCAGAACTGATTTAAAATGGGCGATTTCTGCTTTCAACGATTCGATTTGTGACCGAAGTTCCTCGTTTTCCCCTTCTAGTAGCTGAAAATTTTTTGAATTAGAAATCTTTTGAATGCTCCAAAACAATTGCTTCAACTTCTGAACTCACCTGAACACGTCTCGATCTGTATTCAAAAACTGCTCTTCGGTTTGCTCGGCATCTCTTCGCCGCTTCGTTGTTTCGTCGACGTCTATCCACATATTGAGGCTGAAATTTCAACTTTTGTTCAATAAAAAAGAATCAGAATCACTTACAGATTTATTAGAGTAATTTGAATGATCCTCAGATGAATGCGAAGGAGAGAAAGACGCTGACGACGATACACTTTCGCAGTCGGATTTGTTTCCAGTATGTCTTGGTGGTGAATTAAGACCAGAGATGTGCTCGGTACGGCTTTGAGGTACTGATGGAGAAGTTCTTCTTTGAGACAGAAGTGCCGAAAGAAGAGATGGTCCTTGTTGTGGTGCTTGTTGGACCACTGGTTGAGCTGGAGCAGTTGAGGAGGCTGGTTGGCCAACTGGAAATTAGTTTATTTTGAAAACTTTAGGAATTAAACTTTAGGAATCAAAACATACAATTTTGAAAATTTTGAAACTGATAGAAATTGTGAAAATATTGTGAAAATTGTGAAAATTGAAAATTGGGAAAATTGTGAAATTAAAGCTAGAATTCTTATCAGAGTTTTTTAAAAACACATTTCTGATCTATCTGTCTTACTACCGTAAAATCCTTAGTAATAGGACCCCCTAACTGTTAACTTTGAGCCCATATATTACATTTCCTGGCAAGGATATAAAAAAGTGATCAACTGATAAAATGCTTATCAAAAATCAAAAATATTTTATCAATTAACCACTTTCTGATACCTTTTACAGAAAATGAGATAATTGAAGTCAAACTTCGCAGTACGGGGCTCTTCTATTACATATTCTTCCTATTTCTGACTCCAAAGTTGGCATTTGAACGTCCGTGAAAGGATCAAGAATAATTTTTTTTTTGGATTTTTGACTCGTTCAGATTTTCAAAATGAAAACTCACTTTGCTGAATAACATTGCTTCCCGGCTGAAGTTGTGGTTGAGGTAATTTCAAATCAGTCGATGAATCCGGACTCCTTCTCTCAACTTTCATAATAACACTACTGGTTGGAAAGCTCTGTTGAATTGCTTCAGACGGACGAAACGGATGAAATGCAGATGACGATGAAGATGAGAATAATGAAGATGCTGAGGTCGCTGGCTGAGTGCTCGTGTAGACCTAAATCAGAAACGGTAATTATCATGAACATCTGCCTTTCTAGGTCACGAATTTCATCTGCTGTCAAAACGTAACCATTAGACTTACTGATGATTGGATCGTTGTTGGTTGCAATTGACACAATTGGAGCATCGATGGGAAATGAGGTGCGGTTTGAAGAAGTGGCACAGAGAGCATTGAACTGGCTTGCAGAGAGGCGACTGGTCCCGATGGAAACAGATTTTTCGCAACACTTGGAATAATGAGAGCAGTTGGAGGTTCAACTACAGGAGCAGGTTGTGGGGGAGGAGCCGGAGCAACTGCAGGTCGATTTTCCAGTTGTGACTTTAATCTCTCATTTTCAGCGGATAGTTGCATTATCTTTTCTTCCATCGCTTGATCATTCAGCCGACGTTTTTCTCGACTCCGTCTGGATGCATCATTGTTCCTCCGCCGCCTCTCCCAATAATGTTCATCTTTTATTACACTTTCATTTACGGAATTTCTGAAAAATAAACGGTTTTAAATAGGTATAGCGTTTGATTCTTGCTCATGCTTGAGCAATTCATGAAACTTCAAACCGACTAAATTACCGTAAAACCTGTAACAGAAGGGCACCTATATTGTAAAGTTCCAACTAATTTATCTCGGTTCCTGTAAAGAATATGAAAAATGTGTCAACTAACGAAACCTTTCTCAGTTGACATCTTTTTTTAATCTTTGACAGGAACCGAGAAATTATTGTTTTTAAAAAACTGATTAGTGTATTTCCAAAACCATAAAAATTGGATTGATGCGCTTACTATGATCAAATTGTTTTCGCAATAGGTTTATGAGATTACCATACTAGTTTTTTGAAAACATCCTGTCCCACTAGCCTAGAAGAATCTATACTGGCTAAGGAGTCGTTTATGGAGAGCATAATATCGTAAAACCTGTAATAGAAGGGCCCTCTCCTGGCTCCTATGCTAGATTTCGAAAATGTGTCAACTGATAAAATGTTTGTGATACTATGATAAACAATTTATTTGTTAACTTTTTTATCTTTGACAGGAATCGATATAAGGTAGCTCAAACTCGACAGTGTGATGGCCCTTCCATTACTCGTTTTCGGTAAGTGAATTCTAGGAAGCCGAATAGTACGAGTCTAATTTTAGTATACTCGCTAAATGCCAAAATAGGTATTTTTTGTTTCAAATTCTAGGAAATACATATTTAAGGGAAAAAAGTTTAATGGTGGTGTACGGTGAAATTTTTTATTGCATCAAAATGTGCAGAAATGCATGTAGATTGACATAAAAATAAAGAAAAAATTCAAAAAAAATTCCTTCATCGAGAAAAACGCATCGAAAAATACTCTGAAAGCCCTTAGGGACGAGGTTTTTTCTAGGCAGCCCGGTGAGTAAAAGCGCGCGAATTCAAACTTTTAAAATTTTTTTGCTCGTTTTCACTTTTTTTTCGGGGTTTTCAAGAGTTTTCCAGGTTTTTGTCAATTGTTCTTCCATATACATGGGAAAATTTGAAAAAACAGTGAAAACGAGCGGAAAAATTTTAAAAGTTTGAATTCGCGCGCTTTTACTCACCGGGCGACCTAGAAAAAACCTCGTCCCTAAGGGCTTTCAGCGTATTTTTCGATGCGTTTTTCTCGATGAAGGAATTTTTTGAATTTTTTCTTTATTTTTAAGTCAATCTACATGCATTTCTGCACATTTTGATGCAATAAAAAATTTCACCGTACACCACCTTTAAAGCGAATTCTAGAACTGAATTCTAGAACTCTTTGATAGAAAGCTACAAACCTTCTTGATTCGGGAGGAGATCCTTCTGAAAAGTTCGACGAATCTGACGAGCTCGAAGAGAACTCGGCAGAAGCCGAACAAACCACCGAAAGTCTGGAGGACGGTGACAGTGACACCTGGTCGACGTCCATCTGAAAATTACGAATACTTCACTGCTTCTAGGTCACTAGAGTCATAAATAGAGAAATTATGTTACTGTAGAAAACGTCAAAAAAAGTAGGTGAGAACAAAGTAACAAAGTGTGCAGGTGTTGTGTATGTGTTCATACAGGTGTGTAGCAGAGTGCAGTTAGCAACAATTAAGCGGTTCTGTCCCCGGGCGCCTCCTCAGTTGACCTATTTGCGGTTCGGTGCCCCCCATTTTACAACAAACCAGTTAGCCATAGCCACCACTCACAAGCGGTCACTTTCGGACAATGCTGGTATCCTTTCTCTTTTTCTTTCAACTCACTCTCTCTACAACTAGTCTACAGAACAGGATATCTCATCCGGAGGGAGAAGAAGCGATTTTCGCCTCTCCTCCGTTCCCTTTTCTTCTAATCACTCTTCATCGTTCGCCGCGAGCGACGACTTCTCACCAATTCTCACACCGTCCATGATGCCGACTTTTCTAATAGTTTTCACTTTCCTTTCCCTTTCACAAAATGGCTTCAGCTTTCGCTGCTTTCGGGTCACGGATGTATCTGTCTCTATGTATTTGTAAGTGTCTGTGTGGATTTTGGAGGAGATGAATACATCATCAGGTCACTAGTACAAAAGGGTAGGTGAACTTTGCGAAATGGAAGAAAATGAAAAGAGGAAAGTGGGAGGGAGAAAGTGAATAATTGGTGTGGATAAAGAAGCGAAAAAGAGAAAGTAAAGATAACAAAACGCAATAATGAAGTAACGGATAGAGATTACCGTAAACATTCTAATAGAAGGCCACCCGTTTTTAACTTTGAGCCAATTTATCTCGGTTCCTGTAAGATATATTAAAAAAATAGTCAACTGACAGAATGTTTTTGATATTATAATAAGTATTTATCAATTTACCACTTTTTGATATCTTCTACAGGAAGCGTGATAAAAAGGCTTAAAGTTGACGGTTCAAATGGCGTTCTATTAGATTTTCTGAGGTTTTAAGGGTAGATTAAACCTTGGTTAGTATTCATATAGGTCTGGAACTAATTGGAAATCAAACTTTCACTAGTTTTGAGGGTACAATCCCCAGAATATCAAGAATCAAGAAGCAAAGTAACTTTTGAGAGATCAATTTCGAATTCACAGAATTTGAAAGTCTTGAAAGTTGACTGGGGATCTTGAAGGTGGCAAAGTTCAGAAATTTTCAAAGTCATGAAAGTTCTGACTCTTGCTCAAAATGTGTTTTGTAATAAGATCAGGTGATGGAAAAAAAAGCTGTCGTAAAAATTCGACGTTCAAAATTGCTCTTCTCGAGTGTCGTGATTTTTGAACCTTTTCATACTTTCGGTTGGAAGGAAATCAGGATTTTCGATTGCAAAAACTAAAATTGTTCCTTATAAAACAAATAAGAAGGAAGATAAACAAATTAGCTTCGAAAATAAAACAGTTAACGTATAGGGGACCATTGAAAACAATGAGAAACACTCTAATAGAGTGACACTCAACCAGTCAATTTTGAGCCACTATATCTCAGTTACTGTCAAAGATATCGGAAACCTGTCAACTGATAAAATGTTAATCATAATGTAAAAATGTTTTGCTAGTAAACCACTTGTTGATATCTTGCACAGCAAATGAGTTATAGAAGCTCAAAGCTGACGGGTTGGGTGGCACTCAATTATAGTGTTTGAGAGGGCCCCTACTTTCACGTTTGAGCTCAATTATCTCGGTTCTTGTGAAAGATATCAAAATTTTGTAAACTAATAAAAAGTTTAGGATATAATGATAAACAATTTATCAGTTGATAACTTTTTAGATTTTGGACAGGAACCGAGATAAATTAGGTTAAAGTTAAAAGCTATCTATAACTAAACTTCCAAAAAAGGTTTTCGAAAAAAGGAGCACCTAGGTGTCCGAAAAAAAGGGGTTGTCATCGTTTCCAAAAAAAGAGGACAAGAGATGGACACACAAATTCGCGAATTCAGAGAGAGAAAGGACACTTGTTTGTTTTTGATTGTGCACCGAAAAAAGAAGGAAAAGTAGAAACGAGAGGGTGTGAGAGATAGACTGTTTTCGTGTAGAGAGCAAAAATAACCGCAGGTAGGGAAGAAAAAGAGCGCCTGGGGACAATTGTCCACTGAGCTATTTTTGTTTGTTTGATGGTAAGGCGATTCGGCTGAGAGAAAAAAGAGTGAATCACAAACAGTTCCAGGATGACAAACAGTTCCAGGAAGACGAGGTAAACAGTGTCTACTGACGGCTTCAAGACTCGAAACTGGACGACTGGACACCGTGCGTATTCTACCGCATGCTGATGACCAGTACTGTTTCGGCTAACTCTTTCCGATGGATTAGGGTCGGAGGCAAAAATGAAGTGCACTTTGGATGATGGGGTTGCGAAATGAATGTTGAAATGGTATTCAGTGGAATTCAGTGGAGGGAAAATGTGGGGGGGGGGGGGGAGAAGAAGAAGATCGTTGTTCGATACGGGTGTGAGAAAAAGGAAAACGGGAGAGAGTGGCTAGCACGATCGTATCGTTCGGGAACCATCAAGGGAAAGTACGGAGAGCGAGAGAAAGCGAATTGGGAATTGGACAATGTGAAAGTTCGAGATGGGTATCTTTGAGAGTGAAGAGGTAATTCGAATTCCAGGGACTTTGAATGAATTCCAGCTACTAGAGCTTTCTAGAGTCTGAGCCTAGATCTTTAATTCCAAACTACTGTAAGCCTGTAATAGAAGGGCCCCAACACTGTCAAGCTTGTCTCGGTTTCTATGCAAGATATAAAATATGTGTCAGCTGACAAAACATTTTTGATATTATGATAATAAATTTATTAGTTGCCTGCTTTTTCGTATGTTCGACAGGAACCAGAATAAATGGTCTCAAAGTTGAAAGGGGCCCTTTTATTGCAGGTTTTACGGTAGGTTCTACAGCAACCAGAACTAGCAACTAGAACTTCCTAAAGTCTGCGATCAGATCCTCAGTTTCTAACTGATTGCACATCCTGAAAACAATAGTGATTTGCTTGTCCATTTAAAAGCAAGTCAGAAAAATAAAGAGGGCACGGTAGCTGTCCGTTGCAGGTCAGTCGAGGATAAACGATTTTTCAATTCCTATCAGAATGTCCTTCTGAGAACATCTCATCAACTATGCAAGAATGGAAAGTCAGGGAAAGGAGAAGCTGATGAGGATGAAGCCTCCCCAGGTGAAAAGTGAAGATGATGAAGCGGATCTCGAGAGGAAAATGAAGAAAGCGAAAAGAGGACGGACATCAACCAGACAAAAGGCGAAACGAGCGAAAGCGACGACGACTTCTTTTTAATCGGATCGAGGAGGCAATTGGAAAACGAGAGTTTCGGATAGTGTGTGTGGTGACCACCGCAAGAGTGAAAGTCGAGTTGGACAATAGGCTTGAAACTGGCGACGTCGATGATGCAGGTTCGGGATTCTCGACACGTCTTCTTCGATCCGTCGTCGTCGTCAGAACGGGAATACCCCTTTCTAGTTGCATGCGTAATTGCAATCATGTCCCGCGTCCTTTTCGTCTTCATCGATATATGTTTGGGTGTGCTTCAAGATCCGGCTGTGATGATCCAATCAATGGGCGATCAAAAGTTTGGCACCGATAGGATTATGCTTCACAGAAAGAGAAAGCAATGAAAGCAGAAAAAAGTAGGTGAGACGGCTTCTCGAGAACAGGAAACGTTCGAGAAATATGGGTTGTTGGCATGGGGAAATGGAAAAAGAAGAAGAAAAGGAAGAAGAAGACGGAGCAAAAGAGATTGTTATTGTTGTGGGGATGAGTCACAGAGAGTGGGCATAAACATTCAGAAGCGGAGCAGATGGTTCGCATCTTTTGGTGCATCCACAAGTGTTGATTATGCTCATCACAGAAAAGAATAAAAAGAATATTTAATGACGATGTGATTTAGAATAATGGTATAACAAGTAGTGAATTTCAAAAGTTTTAATTTTCACATCAAAGTACTGAAATTTCAAAAATTTTTGTGAGCCACGAGAATCTATTGAATCTCCCAAAAGATGGACCGTTAAGTTTTTGGGAGCAACGTGTTTTTTCAACAAATATAGCAGAAATATTAACACTTTCTGAATATTTTTCCCAAAATTAAAACTTTTGAAAATCACTACTTGTTATATAATTAGAAATGAGCTTCAGTTTAAATGCTTTTTTTTCAAATTTTACTCTGCATTTGGAAGGTACCGTATTTCCGCTAGTAGAAGACCACCCGATTCATTAAAGTGTTTACGGTATTGTTTTGGTTTTTATTGGTCCCCTATAGAATTCCTAAACTGTTCTGTCTTTTTCAGATACATTAAATAAAACCAGGGTTTCTTGAACTATAAATAGGGGATCACTGTAGGTGGCGGCTCAACTAGGAACATCGTCCTCAAATGAGAACCTGCTGTAAATATACTGAAGTTTCAGATTTCTGATCTCTGGCTCACTTAAATCACTTCCTGACTCAAAATTTCTCAAACTCATTTCACAATTTCAAAATCTGAACATCTTTTGAAGTCAATGTAGGACATTAGTCAGTGTTTAAAGTTACGAAATTCAGAAAAAGAGGGAGCCACTCCCCATATCTTGGGAATTCAGTTGGGGAGCATGCATAGAAAAAAGAGGGACCGCTTTTGTCAGTGGAATGAAGCTCTGGCACAGAAATAAAATATGGGAGGGGGAACAGGGAACGTCCGCGCGGACGACGACGGCTCGGCGTGTCTATTGGGACACTGGCACGGCACGTAAACATCAGTGACCCCGAATGACCGACGGGAAAGCTGGCTGGCAACTAGGGCGGTCGGGAATGATGATGGTCAGAGCCAGTAAACAACAACCGCCTGCGCGGGAACAGAGCACTCTCGAGAAAGAGAGGGCATATTATGCGTCTCGTATTGTACATGCTATTTCCAAGTAATTCACTGATTAGTTGAATAGAGAGAATCGAGGAGCAGCAGAAGAAAGAAGAAGAAGCGGTACCGGAGAACGTCAACGTAACAATTCATCGTCATGCAGCTGGTGCGACGATGAGATAAGAGAAGTGGCGAAAGTGCAAAACAACTTGTTTATTATTCAATTCGATAACTATTCAACCATTTACACAATTTAACGATTTGAGCGAGCAATTGTTGCTCTTTAGAGTTTAAGAAACTTTAAAGTGAAGATATTCAGAATTTCAAAGTTCCCTTGAAACCTGTAATAGAAGGGTCCCTAACTTTTAGCTTTAATTCAATTTTTTCTCGGTTCCTGTAAAAGATTTAGAAATGTTGTCAACTGATAATTTGTCCATCATAATATCATAATTGTTTCGTCAGTTGACACATTTTTGATGTCTTTTACGAGAAAAGAGATAAATTAGCTCGAACTTGACAGTGTGGGGGCACTTCTATTACAGGGTTTACAGTAGTATGAATGACGACTGTAATATGAAATTTCGCGAGAGTTTCAGTTTTGCGAATAAAATTCATTGCCTTTCTGAAATATGGACGTCAAATATTATCTGAAAAATCATAATTTAAAAAATCGTTTAGAAAGTGCAGTTTGTGATGAAAATGAAATTCAGCCTTCTACGGTAGGTAGGTTCGACTCGAGATAGCTGGGTCTAAAATATTGGTGGGTTACTGTAATGAACGATAATTTTTGGAAATGGTATCAGAAGAGTATCAGTATCAGAAATATCAGAAGATTTAAATAACCATAAAATGTGTTTAAAAAATTCAATTCGTGATGATGTGAGTCCAGACAAGAACAGTAGCCCTATTATTCTGGTACGAAAAAAGCGGAGCTGTGGAAGAGGAACGCCGTGGAAGAGGATGGCCGTGTTCGAAGGCCCTACAACTACAGCTACAGTAACCTAAAATATATTTATTTTTTCGTTTATTTTTCATTTTTTGTCATTTTCCACCTTGCAAGTCAAAAATAAAAGTTATTGATAGTGAAAAAAATCACTGAAAACGCACGGAAAACGAAAAAATAAGCTGTGTAAATAAAAATATTCATTGGTTACGGTAGATTTCGTTTTGGGATATTCGGACCTGTTTCAGTTGGGTCGAGAAGACTAGTGTTGGGTTACTGTAGTCAACCATAATTTTTGAGAGATTCAATATTCAAAACCAATCCGATTGGCTACAAATGATATATTCTGAGTGCCAGATACTCCTCTTCGCGGCTCTCTGACATCTCCAGTAGATATTCTCCACCAATCAGACAACAAGTCAATTCCTAATTCTTCTCCTTTTATGGTCGTCATCAAACTGTCATAATCTGGTTGTGCATTTCCCGTCAGAACATCTGCTTCTCCTTAATTGATGCACATGCATTCAACTCAACAGGTTCTATTTGGTGTCTTTGCTGCAAGAGGTCACTTGGTGACAGCAGTCTGACGAACAAACACCTGCGCGGAAGGAGAAGAACGCGCGCATAATGCTCCGGTGGTGCGAGCCGGGCGGCTGGTACCGACCGGTGCGCTAATAGTGTAATTGAGAGAAGGCAGCGATGTGGTAATAGTGATAGGGCAATTTATTTAGAAGGCAGGTAGGTACACACAACATTCTATTCATAAAGATTATTTGATATTCACCGGAACGGGGGGAAAATATATAGAATCAAGGTTAGAAATGTTTTGGCAGGATTCAATAGAAATGAGAGGTAGGTCACGGATTAACAATGAACACGTGGAATGCTCAGATGAATGGCGCGGCGCCTGGCGAATAGATTGTTGCATGATGATGTCGGATTTTTGACGTAGACTTGATCATGTCCCATGCGCATGATCTCCATTGCACGACCAACTTCTTCTTGGATACTGTGCAGTCGTGGAGCCTTAACACCATCGCGCAAGAAACGGACGCTCTTCGGAACAGGTAGAATTTCACCGACCTGAAAAACGAAAATGTTTAAGAGTTTAGCTTTTTTGTTTTTACCGTATCAGTGATTTCAGTGATATCTGGAATCTCTGGAATATCTTCCACTTCGGGAATGAACCCTTCGAAGACTCCTCCTTCGCATTCCGAATCGTCAGCTCCAGGGATGGCGATTGCAGTTGTGATGTGCTTTCCAGGAATGATCGGTTCTCCAGTCACCAATGGTGTAGCCATCAATTCGTGGATAGTTAGACGATCTTGTGGATTCGTGCGCAGCAGGCATCGAATATCATCTTTCGCTGAAAATGACACAGTGTTAATCATTTAAAAGAAAGGAGTTGGTTAGTCATTGGACTAGATATTTAGAACGTTCTGAAAGCTTATTGGTTAACCTAGGTGCTTACTATCTTTCGAAACACAATCCCACTCCTCGGGCGGGAAAGCATAGTATGCGTTGGCAATACGGGATCGCATGCCCGGAGACAGAGCAACACCTTTCATCGAGTAGAAGGGTGGATATCCACATAATCTGTAATAGGGTTCAAAATGCTTCAAATACCCTTTGTCCCTATTGTTTTATATTTTTGAAAGATTTCTAACCCTAATTTGCCCTACAAATATTTTTGACTGAGAGACGAAAAGAGCTGATAGTTTGAGCAAACAGAAGATTTGAGTGATAACAAAAAAAACTTCTAATCGTAACAGTCAAATGATTTGATTTTCGAAATTTTGGGAACAATGGAAATTGATAACCTACAATATATACATAGCGACTCCGAGAGACCACATGTCACACGATTTGTCGTATCGTTCGCGTCCCAATACTTCTGGTGGCCTGAAAACACGATCATAGGATGAAGTACGAAAATGTTGATGGACTTACGCGTAGAACGGAGTACAGCATGGAGACTCCATGAGCACGTTTCTCTCCGGACGCTTGGCAAACCCGTAATCACCCAATTTGTAGATGCAATTATCACCCGTACCACTACACAAAATATTTTCAAGTTTGATGTCTCGATGCGCGATATTCATGTCGTGGAGATACATGACAGCGTTTCCGATTTGGCGAATGATCTCACCAACTTCTGAAAAAACGAAACGTAGTATTCAGAAGAAAACTTTAGAAAATAAACTCACTCTTCTCTGAATACGGAATGCTTCCTTGGCTTTCGAACTGACTCAACAAATCTCCTCCTTCGAGAAACTCGACAACCATCAAAAGACATTTGACATTGTCGAATGTGTTCTCGTAGATGTCCAGAATCGAAACAACGTTATCATGAGCGTTTGTCAGCCAGTGCAACTCCACTTCACGTCGAGCCTTTTGACTATCTCTCAACACTTTCAGTGCAAACTTTTCACCGGAATTCTTCTTGTAGCACGCCATCACCTTTCCCGATTCGCCGATTCCGATGATCTCGGCAGAAATGGTATAGTCCTCGGTGATTTGGTGCTGGTGATATGGGAAAGAAACGGTCAGCGTCGACTTTGCTTGACGGAGACCTTGTTCTTGGGTCTCGATTGGATTTTGACTGGCACAGAAGCAGATCTTTCGTTGAGTTGTTGGACTGAGCTCCTCATCAGATGACAAATCACAGTCGATGTTGAGCGATGTTGTTGCATTCAGGACCAACGAACGCTGAAAGAGCAATTTTTATTTTTCCTAATCAAAAAGGTCATGCGTTTGAAATCTGTGTGTTCTCTTGATGCTTGATCAGGATAGTCGTTCTTTGATTTACAGAATCAAACGAAATGGTTGTTTTTATTCTTGATTCCACCACCTGTTCTCTCATTTTGCTTGCTAAGCCTGGATCCTCAAGAAATGAGGTCAGTTCACTCAGCTCATGGGGTGACTCTCTTTTAAGCCGACACGGCGAAGAAGATACTAGTCTTAGTAGTGATATGATGACATGAAACGAGGGCAGCTGTCATGTCGGTAAAAGTCTCCCCACGTGGCTACAAACTCTAGAAGTTATTAGGAACTTCGGTGACAGAATTCAAGAAAAAAACGTAATGGAAACTAATAGTCTGAAGACGTCACTTCTCGTTTTATTCGTCGAGGAGTCTGACCTATCATTAATTGATGAAGCCTCAGCGCCAGAGACCTTCGTGTTCTTTGTTCCTTTTTTAGTGAGTAGTGTCTGTTATTGTGTCGTATACACCCCCACGTGCTGCTCCCTGTCAGTCAAAGTACATTTCCCCTCTATTCCACCAAACGTAATAACAATTGGTCCCCCGCTCAGGACAAAGTACAGAACGAAAGCGATACCTGCAGAGCGGTTGGCGAGTCGAGCAGATGTTTGGTGCCGTAGGCGATGAGGTCTTCGGACGACGGCGTTACGAACATCGATGCCGCTCGTTTCCCAGTATCATACGAGAAACGGAACGGATTCTCCTGAGGACTTCCTGAAAACAAAAACGATTTTTGTTGTTGTTGTGATCAGCTGCTGACAGAGACGAGTTTTTTTGCTTCCTATCTGCGACGTTCCAAAATTTTCAACAAAGATCAGTGTGGAAAAAAAACTAGATGTTGGTTGTATTGTAATATTATTACATATATTTTTGGTTCCCGTTATTTCTAGCCTGATTTGATCAATAATGTACTTTGTCCTGTCTCTAGACAAATTTTCGATAGGGAAATTGACACTTATTGAGATAAGAAAAAAGTGACTAACCGGAGTAATCCGACGAATGATGTTGTAGTTCTTCTTGTTTTTGTTGTTCCATGGGATCCTCGTCTTCCTCATATTCGAACATCATCCTTCTCGTTTAGGTACAGCGTAAAGCTGTGGGGTGAAAAGATGGCGAGAGCCTGGAAAGTTTATAGGTCAATGATGTATAGAAATTGATATGTTTACATAACAGTAAGTGAACGAAAAATCGAAAAGAGTTTGCTAACGGAAAAAAAAAGAAGAAGATCGAGTACTTCTAGTACCTGCTATTGCCCGTTCAAATGACTTTAATCTGCTTAGCATTTGAGTAGTTCGGGGGGGAAAAAGAGAAGAAAGAAACGAAAAAGAGGAGATAAAACAAACGACATAATGCAGAAAGACAATGAGGACGGAGAAGCAAGAAGAATCAAGCATCATATCGATTAATTTCGACCTTCCCTCAATCGCATGAATATATATTTGAAGGAGGCACAGCAGGCAGAGGATAGATGATGCGGTGTCTGGTGGAGAGGGGGAGGCGCCCCGAAGAGAAAAAGTTAGAGAGACAAGAGGGCAGGTTATACATGGGACATCCCTGGGCGGAGCAACTGGTATTCCCAAAAAATGGTCTGAGTGTCTGGTGTGGCGAGAGGGCGGTTTTTATAGGTGAATGGGGAGTGGGAGTCATTTTTCGTTTTCTTTTCAGGCTACGCCTCTATTTCGTAGGAGGCGCGAGGAAGGGGAGGGGGTGATGCGCCAATCGTCTTATCAGTTGAATCTGGAATAAAAGATACAAACTATCAAATACAGTTCCTCCACGTGACTGCAAAGAACGGCTAGAGCTGTGACAAATGGGAACATTGTTTTCTTCCACTGAACAATAGGCAACTGTGTATGGTCTCTGTGGTCTTTCAGACAGAATAAAGAATTAGAAGACAAGAAAAACTTGTTCAACACTGCAGTGGCTTAAATGTAATGTAATTACAATTACGAACATGAGAATGTTGTGAGAACAAGCAAATTAAGGAATGTTTCAATTGGAAATTGTAATAGAAGGTTTTTTTTCACGAGAAGAAAAGGGAAAAGGATGTGAATCGATGAGCGGAAATGCGAAAGAAAGGGCCCATGAAGTCACGAGCTCTGCGCGCCACGGCACAACTGGAGCGCAGAGCAGAGCTATTGACGCAAGTGGTCCGATTGGCGTCTTTTCAATAGAGAAAGTAAGGCTAGGAAGATCGAAAAAGCAAGGTTAGGAAGAGTTCATAGTTAAGAACAGCCTGAAAAAGCAAATAATGTTGGGTTTTCGTTTAACTAATGGACCGCAAAAAATAAGCTTTTTCGAACAAACATTTAAACAGACGAAATGGCTCTGGGGGCGAAATCTGGTTACATGGAATAATCGGGTTAGAGAAATTTAATTGAAGAGCTGTTTACGAGCTGAATGACGGGATAAGACGCAAATCAATGAAAAAAATTGAAAAAAAGGCAATGAAAATTTAGAAAAACACTCAAAAACATCCGAAAGCTGCGACACTACACAAAAAATTAGCAAGAAGCAATTAGCAAGAATAGAAATCGAAGCATTTATTTTGTGTGAGCAGGAAAAAAAGTTGTGCATTTTTGCGTAATGATGTACAAAACTCTTCAACGAAGTACCGTATGATTTAGAAAACTGTTTCGTTTCTTGCCGACTGTCTCTTCAAAATAACCGGATTTTTATATCCAAATATAGGGAAATATGTGCAACAGTTTGAAAAATAAATATATAGCTCGAAAAACATAACAAAACACCTCAATATAATACCGCTTGAATCTGAAATAAAACTAACGCGCAGTTTGTTGTATTTTTCGATGCAAATTTTAAAACAGTTACAGTAATCCGCTCACCAGTTTTTTTCAACCATTTGAAGGAAAACTATTGAATATTTATAGATTTTACGAGCTGTCAAAAGAATTTGAAAACCCCCTAAAAGAACAAAAATATCCGAGTTCAGGTCAAAGTGAACGTTCGTGTGTATTGTTTTCCTGCTTCCTGGTGGGCCAGCCGGTCCAAAGTTTGACGAGCAGATTTTCTGTGACGCAGAAGTGACTGGAACAATCGGTCGCATCATTTGATCGGAAACAAAGAAATATCAAAGAAAGATGGCCGTACATGGTGGTGAACCAGTTACAACTTCATTTTCAGAAGTGATCTTTAAAATTCTCAGGATCGTCTTGAAGGAATGTACTTTGGACTGATGTGATCTAGATTAGTTCTCTGAACATTATCTTCTTCTTTGCAGGCCGGACTTTTCTTTCTAGTCCGTCGCATTTAATCGGCTGATCGTCCGACTGTTCTCTGATGTTGTGATGTTCATTCAGAATCATGTTGCATCAGTTTATTTTCAAAACCACCAAACGTCTTCCTGTTGCCGATTTAGTGTTTTTCTTCTTATTCCTCAAAAAAGGTCGGAAAACCAAATCGGGAGGAGGGCCATAAAACTCAACTCACACCCATCTCGAATGTCACATGGATGTGTTGTTTGTAGCCTTGTAGGGTTTGCACGTACCTGTAAATGTTCTAGAGAGGATATTCTTGTGAGACAGACTCTATCGTTTTCTGTATAAAACCTCGTGATATCACCCCACGTGGGGATGGTTTCGTCGTCGCCAAAGGGGGTTTCCTGTCCTCGACATAACGGAGGTGGAGTGAACAGACATCGCGAAGAGAGAAGATGATGGTGTGATAAGAAGAGAGTAGGATATTGAGGAAAGGGATGATCGTTGACCGATGTTTTTCACACTGGTATCAGAAACCTCATTTGTTGTTGTTCGATGATACCGCTCTTTTGATCATTTGTTTGCAACTTTTCTCTCTTCGAGTGAGAAGGCAGAAGCTCAACTTTCTCCTCTAAACATTTGTGTGCACCGGAGACACAGAGCGACCCCTATCTGCACACACACGTGACACCTGAAGTCTACCTGAAAAGTGATGGAATCGGAATGAGACGCTTTTTCTTTGAAGTCTGCCAGTTTATGGCGTGGTTTTTGGGTTTGCTGCTAGTGAATGTTCTCAATGACAATTCAAAGAGAACTGGGGGAAAGATGACAGGGGTTGAGGTCGTCTCCCGCATTAGGGACATTGCAATTGTTTGAATCACTGTTGTGTTTTAGAACAAAAGTTACTGATAATAAAAGTTTGGAAAAAAGAAAACCTAGGGGATAAACAATTTTCGATCAGTTAGCAAGGGAGGACTTGGAATTGGCATTTCACGAATATTCCAGATGGCGCGATAGGGCAATATGGAACTGAAACACTAAACTTTTCTGAAGTTTTCGAGCACCTCGATAAAAAAATACATAGAATATTTAATTTTTATATTTTTATTTTTAAAAAACTACCAAAGTTTTTTACTTCACCCACTTCCAGAAAACTGAAAACTTCTCTGCTAGAAGTTAAAACTCTATTTTCACATATTCTGAAATCTGAAACTTCGCCGAACCATTTCCAATTTCTTCCTCTAAACCGGAAGATACAGTAATCTTTTATGAAAGCCAAACTAGACTCTAGCTGATCTAACTGCCAAGAAATGATCACTTTGTGCTTTGCGTAGCCAACCCTGTTCGTTCACAATGGAATCTTCCTGAACAATCGAAACTTTCATTACAATTCTCTAAACAACATTTTCGATTACATCACCCTGCCTCACCATCGTCTGCGCCAGAACTATGATCTTTCTACCTTCATCAATAAGTTTTTCGCTGGGGTTTAGTTCCTGAATGTTCATTTGATCTTAAGACGAATTTCGTTGAAAAACGCTGCAGTCTCAACAGATTGAGGGGGTTTCCTCAAGAGCCAAATTTGATAAGAAATCATTGATAACGATTCGAGATTCTGTGAAATTCGGTCGAAAGGAAGGGGAGGGAAAGGGGTTTCCCAGTTACGTAACTTTTCATACAAACTTGGATTCATATCATCTGTCGTGATTGATGTCATGGACAGAAGTGTTGTTTTTTGAAAGAAAAAAAAGATGTCAACCAGTACAGGCTGAGAAGGGGTGACGAATAAGGAGAAGAAAGATTCGATTTTCTAGATTCTTCTTTTAGGGACTTTGTTCCATTTCAACAGATCAACAACTTTTAATCAACCTTTACTCTTCCTGATAAGAGATTCTTAACAACATTTTGAAAGCAAAGGGCAGATACTGTCTCTTATTTTCTCTCCATCGAAGAAATATTTGAACAGGAAGAGAATGGATATGGCAATCGTTTTCAACGAAACGCATAACTGGTTTGGTGGTTTTTCAAACGATGTCAATTGATCGGAAACCGATTCCTATCTTATTTTTTTCCTTTCAAAAGTTTTCCTCATGGAAAAGAGGAACATAGAAAAAGCACAAAGAACAATTGACACTTTTTGGACGTCAGCGAAAGTTTGCTCAAGGCACTGTTTTTGAAAAAAAAAAGTGAAGGAAAAAAATACAGGAATGTCTTTGAAAGTGGACGAACGTGTTGGATGGGGTTGGTTGCAAACTATTTGGCATGGAAAAACATTGTTCTAGAAGAAGTGGTGTTTTAGAACAAGCCTTTTTTTGGGGTCGACTTTTTAAAAACGAGTGAATTAAAAAAGATTTATAGTTAGGATTGATTCTCATGAACTTCATGCTTTGTGCCGGATCGATTCTGAGGATAGAAACTATGCCCTGAAAAACTTTTTTTGGAAAAAAAAACTACCAAGTGTGACCATAGGTTTTCAAAGCTGTGAGAGAGACTTTCAAAACTGCGAAGAAGCGGTTTTGGTTTGCCAGAAGATCTATAATGACCGCGGATATTTGAAATTTCCAGAAAACTTCAGAATCTACCAATACGAAATTACAAAAACGCGTCTGAAACTAATCGAATTGGGTCTACAAAGCTTGCCAAAAAGTGGTTGATAAATTATGATCATATATACCGTGCTCGCAAATATAGAAGCCCACCCTGCACTTTGAGCTAAATTATATCGGTTCCTATGAGAGACATGAAAAACCTGTGAACAATCAAACCATTGGTGATATTATAATAAACATTTTGTCAGTTGACCACTTTTTGATGTTTGTTACAGGAGCCGATCAAAATTGGCTCTAAGCCAAAGTATAGCGTAGCCTTCTATAAGAGTGTTTACGGTATTTGAAATTCGACGACTTCTAGGCCAACAAGTATGAATCAACTCGAAGACAAGTCAAATAATTTTAGAACGCTCCAATTCGTCCGGTTTTTACGATAACTTCTTTTTAAAAAAGCATTTCATTTGTTCATGTTGCAAGAAGACTTGTTTTCTCTTGTTCCAGAAAACTTTGCTTTTCTCATTGAAGAAGTCACAGTATTTTCTCATAATATTTCCATTTGATAGCATTTTCCCTTTTTGATGCGGATCATGATCTTGAACTTTTATTGCTATTTTTATGAGATGACCACGAATAAAATTGGTCGATCAAAAGTTGACATATCAATATCGTCAGAAGAACACTAGATTCTAGGGCGGGAATGAAAAAAAAAGAAGAAGAAAAAGAAGTATTGGGATCATGATCTCTTTTCTCTTGTTATCATTATCTTTCAATATTATCATTCTAGTTTTTGTATTTTGTAATCAGTTCATTTGATAATTGAGTACAGCTGACCGAATTGCAAAAATAAGAACAAAAACATGTTTGTATGCAAAAATCGCAATTTTATTGTAGACGAAGAAAACGAAACAATGCAATTTTGGGAACATTTTCAACAATTACAGGGTTAATTTGAGAACAATCGTACCGGTGTAGCAGTTTTCTTCTCAATTGTTCTAGGCGATCTCAGATTTATTCAATGTTGTCTCTGATTGAAAGACGAAGGAAGATTCTCTGAATGAAGTTACTGGTTTTAAGGTCATGAAAATTTTTGAAAGATTTCGGAAATGGTCTGAACGGTCTGACAGAGAACAATTTGAGATCTTTGAAGTAACGTAAGATTGATTGGCCTAGGATCTTCATGGTCTTGTCATATGATTTGATTCTTAAAATATAGGATCTCTAAGAAATCGATTGCAATGAAAGTTTCGATTGTTCTTGAAGGTTTTATTGAAAACGAACAGTGTTGGCTACAAAAAGCACAAAATGATCAGTTTAGTTATGAAACCTGCTCACAATTAGCTAGAGTCTAGTTTGGATTTTCAGAATATATTACTGTAACTTCAAGCATAGGTTTGCCTTTTGGACGGACATTGGCCTGGTTCTGGTCGGAAGTTGCCCAAACACGGCTGTTTAGCGGGTCATGGTCCGATTTTGGTCGGAAATTGAAATTTGAAATCTAGGTAGGAAGCTACCACTAGGCCGGAAGCTTATCATTAGTTTGTCGCAGTTTGGTCGGCTTTAGTAGTGATCCTATCTGGAATCTGAACAACCTCCAACCAGAAGATGTCTTTCGATTTTCAAAATTTCAACTTTAATATAACTAGACGTCTAGTTTAATATCAAAAGGTCAAATTTCACATACAAAAATTTCGAAAAATAGTAAATAGCAATCTTTAATTTTCACCTGTATGACATTGTTTATTCCTACAACTCTATAGAGTACACATCTTCTCACTTGTTTGAAATGACCACCACATACATCTTTGTTTTTGTTGATTGCTTGCCCGTTCATTCGAATCTTTACACACCTCATCAATGATCAATGTCAGTTATCAAACCGACAGTAATTCGCGTTGATAAGCGATGTTCGATGACCCAGCTCTCTCCCTCTATGTGATTTGTTTTGTTAAACAAATGATCAAAAGGCTTGAATGTTCGATCAGCCGTCAACAAGGGATATGCAAACATCATTCAAAGAGTTGAAAAGTCTTTTGATTCAATTCCAAAAAAAGTTATGCCTTCTAATACGTGTCTTGTAGCTCTCATCATCAAAAAAGATATCTGTTCGCTGGGAAAACTGTGACCAGCTCTAAAGAAAAACACTGGGCGGTGGTGAAGAAAAGTAAAAATAGAAGAAACACTTGACGGAAATAACCAAAAAGTAGCGAAAGGTGCGAAGACACAAGTAGTTGATGAATGAAAACACAGAAAAGCTTTTTGCACGGAAGAAACAACTATTTGGAGTGATTTGATCACCTAACTATTTGATTTCTGTGTTCAAACACTCGAGCCATCAGATCTACGATAGGAAATGTGACACATTTTTTTAAAGGAGCAGAGTATATCGAACAGGGATGAAAATGGGTTCGAGCTTGAATGCGCTGAAAAATGCGTTAATGCGATGGGTTCCACTAGTCCGTCAGCAGCCCGTAAACGACCCGTCAGTTCTCCTGTGATTGCCATTCAGCAGTTTTTCAGCATTCTCCTTTACCTGTGTTGCCCCGATCAGACGCATGAAGGAAATTATTTAGGTAAAATAGAATATCTATAAACATTAGAGATATTGAAGGTCCTCTCAACTACAACTACAGTAACCTAATAATATTTTTATTTCCTCGTTTTCCCTGCCTTTCGTAAAGTTTTCTGTTAATTTTCCCAAACAAATCAAAAATAAACTTTTTTAATAGTAATAATAATAATAATAATAATTTATTACGAAACAGTGAAACAGTTACTGAAAATATACGGAAATCAAAAAAATAAACTCAGAAAAAAACACTTTTATAAAAGTGTTTTGGGTGCTGTATCTGTCGATGTGAGACTTTCGGTCCACGGCCACCGGTGTTTCTCTTCTACGACTCTGATTTTTGTACCAGCATACCGTATGCTGCACACAGAAAATAATTCGACAGCACAACGCACTCTAATAAAAGTTTTGACTAATATTTTTGGGAAGTTTGATTTTTCTTCAATCTCAATTCTTGAAAACTTTTGAAAAGCATTCTGTAAGAAAATGATCACTTCGGACAAAGTTTTCGAGCATTCTTCCTAGTAACCAGAATATTACAATTTGTATCACCTGATCTAAAAAATTCAAATCTAATGGATCAAACAACAGAAAAGTTGGTTGAGTGCAACATGGAAAATGTTTGAATTGGTCGAGACATTTTGACAGTTTCCTGCGAGGAAAACCGAACCGATTACGCAATATGTTGGTGCAAGTCCTTCCGGAATGGCACATGAATGGTATAAAAGAGAAATTGAAAGTAGTATTGGACATCGGCTTTTACTCATTTTCAATTATGACTTCCTCATCTACTCTCGCAGTTCTAGTTGCACTTGCCACAATTGTAGCAGTGTCACAGGTAGAAGAGGATATGAATCTCATTCTTCTTCATTCTCTTTTAGGTTCAATCCGCTGTTCTCCCTGTCTCTTCTACTGAACTGACTACAGTCGGAAAAGATGTTTCGACGGCTACAACAACTGCAATTGATACTCTTCAAAATTCGATGTCCAGGGTGAAGAGACAAGGTGGAGGATGCGGATGTTGTGGATGTGGATGTGGATGCTGTTGTTGTAGACCAAGGTAAGAGTCAATGTTTGGGAAAATGAGTCTCAATATTACTAGTTCTTTTTGCATCTTCTGCTGCTAGACCATTCATGATATTCTTTTTGATTAGGAAAAGCTGGAAAATGTGAAAAAACCCATTCTAAAAATTTGGCCGACCTCATATAAACATAACTTTATAGGCTCCATCTATAAACCCTTTTCATTTTCAGATGCTGTTGCTGCTGCCGTCGTTGTTGTACCTGTTGCAGAACTTGTTGTTGTACCAGGTGCTGCACCTGCTGCCGCCCATGCTGCTGTGGATGCGGATGTGGATGTGGATGTGGATGCTGCGGATGCGGAGGAGGAGGACGTAAACGTCGTTCCCTCCAGAATCTCAGAATCGATGAGGCCAATCGTGCTCTTGGAATCAAGAGGAAGTCTGCTAAATCTGACAGGTGCTAAGAACTGGTCTTTTATGATTTTGCCAGCTAATATTATTTCATGTAATAGTAATAATAATAATAATAAACCAAATTGTTACAAAAGCTTGAAAACAAGAAAAAAAACGCAGGTGCAAAAGTGCCCTTCCGGCGCCAAAAACAAGCCGGTCATTATTTTGGTGACATTGAATATTTATTAGAATGTGTCCCCTTGTTTTTTTTTTCAAAATTTGGTGACACAAATTTTGGGACCACCTCCTCCTCCACCAGTTTGTTTATTTTTCTCTCGAGGGCATTCTAATTGGATCCCCCGACTTTTGGTAGTAGGCCCTCATTCATTTTTTGTTTCTTTATTCGCTAATAAACAAACATACACACGTCTTGAGACACCCGGAGAGCAATGTGAAATTGCATTATTATTCGATTTCCTGAGATCTCTGCGACTCCATGCCGAAGGAAAAAAAATGAAAAAAGGGCTTCTCCGTTTTGTTGCGTTTCAATGTTTCACACAATTAGACGTCGTTTTCGTTCCTTTCAGAAAAGAAGATTTTGAAGAGAAAGTATAAAAGAAATCAGACACGGTTGGCTGATTTTGCCTTCTGATTTCTATTTTCTTGCTCTCTCTTTTCTCGCCGCTTTTTTTACTCGTTTTGCACTTTATGGCTTTTATAGTCCCTTCGTTTCTTTTTTCTTCCATTTTTTATTTTTCCAATTTTCCACTACTCTCGATTTCTCTCAGTTTTTATGACCAGGTTTCGGTTTGTCTGCGCTGACGCTGGAGGTGGGTGGGGACCACAGAAATTCGTATGCAGAAGAGAGAAGAGAAGAGCTCATGTACGTACGTGTTATAGTGTTCCATCTTCTTCTTCTTCCTCTTATTCATCTTCTTGTTCTGCTCCTCCTCCTTCCGATAACAACAAAAAACACACACACACACAAAAAACATTTCGGCTTCCGATTCCCGAGGGCAACACCAAAACGACCATAAGTTATTTTTTGCATTGTCGAAACCAGATGTTTTCTTTTTTCGGAGGAATACCAGAGTACGCAAAAGAAGGGAACGATGTTCCAGTCTGGCATTTTTTTAGGAGGTGCTAGTAGTCCGATTCTGGTGGTTTCTCTTCGAAATTTTTTTATGCTAGGAGCTCTAGAAACATTTTCATTTCAATCTAGTGAGGTCTCAACTAGTTGCTAACCTTAATTAGCCGATGTGATGAATTTCTAATTTTGACTTAAAGAAGACTCTTAACATTTTTGACATTTTTGAACTTGAATACTATGCTAAACTCGTAAACAGTGCTTTAAAAAAACTCCGACTAGATAATTTCAGACAAGAGGACCGAAGTAGACAGGCCCGATTTTCTATTCTACTGTAATCAATTCTATAGTTGTCAATACGAGAGATGGAGGCGCATATCTCAAAAACTACAGTAGCTAGGAAAAAGTTATCAACTACAAAAATGAAGCTATATTTTTGTTACGTATACTCTGAAATTTTCAGAAAAATTGAAAAACTCTGGTTTACTTTTTTATAATTCCAAACTTGACTGCGTTTGAGAATATTTGTCATGTCCGCCCTGTTTAAAGGCGCATATCTTAAAAGGGACATCCAAAGCAGAGAAAACGAGGGAAAAAATTCCCGGGTATAGGCTCCAAACGAATAAGGAATTTTTTCAGAAACGTTGCCTGAAAACCCCGAAAATATTATTATTAGCTTTTAAAATTTTCTGGAAGGTTCTGGCAACAGTTTTCCGTTTATCAAATTAATGGAATACAAACTTTCCTTTTTTAAAATTTTATTTTGTATAAAATCGACCGTATTTAATACCGCCAGTACCGTTTCAGAGCTCCGTATTTGTTTAATCTTTAATATTTAAAAATATTTTCTTTGTAATCCTTTTTTTTCAAATTTTCTCCAATTCTCACTTTTTGTTTTGGAACCTCATTCCTAGTAAAACCCACTAAACTTGCCAATAAAAATGTTTGCCCAAATTTTTTTCTGGGGAACACCAGCAGAATTTCAATTTCCCGCCTAACTTTTTTTTTCAAACATTTTTGGGGTTTTCTAAACTTTTTTCTCTGGAACCAAACGAACAATATTTTGTACACATTTTCTAATTCACCTTTGCCAACTTTCCCGATTATTTTTCCTCTCTCCTCTGCAACCTAAATATATTCATGAAGTGTGTTTTTTGCCGTTTTCTTTCTTTCGTATAGGTTCCACCTCTCGAAGACAAAAACATGAATCTAACCCCTAATTCAGATTGATAGTGTTCTCCAAATCTGCCCTTTTCTTTGTTTTCCTTTGTAGTACTTTTCTTTGTTCTCAGATTCCAATTATCCATTCTTTTCAGTTCCCAGGAATCGATGAGCGTTTTTTAACTCTTTTGTTCTTATTTTCTGTTTTCCGTACTTCTAAAAACTTTTTAACTGGTCACAAACCATTAAAAAACCTATAAATTAGGCTATAATGCAATCATATTCCTATGCAATAAGAACAACTGAGAAGTTAGGTTTATTTCTTTGAAAAGTGGAAAAGTGTCATGAATCGGTGATTTTTTACAAATGGAATTTGCGATGACGTCTGGCGGTTCTTCCGGCGTCTCCTTCTCTTCCTGGACATTTGCAATATTCGGCATCCTTTCCTGGGAGTCCTGGTGATCCTGGTGGTCCCTCTGGTCTAAAATATTGTCAATGTTATTTATGAATCTCTTCTCCCTAATTTATTCTTACCCATCCTGTCCAGCGGCTCCACCGTATCCTTGAATTCCTGGCTCTCCTTGTGGTCCAGCTTGTCCTGGATAAGCATCTCTTCCAGTTGGCCCTTGTGGTCCTTCTGGTCCAGCCTCTCCTGGTGGTCCACGTGGTCCTTGTCTTCCCAATGGTCTCTCACCATCATCTCCCTTTCCTCCTGGGGATCCTGGCTTTCCATCGAGTCCTGGAGCTCCTGGTGGTCCACAGTCTCCTGGCATTCCTGGGTTTCCATCTCTTCCTGGGCGTCCTGGTTGTCCACGAGCTCCACGCATTCCTCTGAGTCCTGGGGCTCCGGATGGTCCTTGTGGTCCGAGTGGTCCTTGTGGGCATGTGAAGCAGCCGGTTGGTGGGGTATTCTGAATATCTTCGGCATCCTTTCCGTCGAACCCTGGAACTCCATCCTGACCGTCTTGTCCATCTGGTCCCTCCTCTCCTTCTGGTCCAGCTGGTCCTGGTGGGCATGAGTTCTCAACAGTGCATTGGCATTGGTTTCCTCCACGTGGTCCTCCTCCGTTCGGGAATGGTCCGTCTGGGAATCCACCTCCTGGGAACTTTGGTTGGTTTCCTCCATTTGGAATACCATCTGGGAACTTCTCTGGTGGAGCTGGCTGACTGGCTCCATATCCTCCATATGGGTTTGGAGTTGGTGCTGGTGGCTGAACTCCACTGGCTCCGTATCCTCCGTATTGTTGACGTCTCACTCTGTTTGAAGCGGTTCCAGCTCCAAGCTTGACCATATCAACCCACATGTCTTCAGTGAGACTCTACAAGTATTAAAAATTGAGCTACAGAAATAGATAACAATAGAACTTACTCTGAAGTTGGCGATTTCCGCATCCAGCTCATTCCAGATGTTGGATACTTGGCTGTAAAGCGAAGCAGCGGCAAAGAGGGAGACCAACAAAGTGGCTCCAGAAAAGACAATGGCGCCGGACGTCGCCGTAGTTAGGGTCATCTGGAAGGAGAACAATTTGGATCAGTGCCAACAAGAAATGAGGAGAGAAAGGAAAGAAAAAGAAGACATGGATATAGGATATCGCTCTGTGATTGCCGCTAATCGTATACCACCCGTCCACACTAATATATAGGGTAGAAAAACCGAAAAGCTTCTTTAGGCAGTTTTCGGTAGAGGACGCCCAGCCCCCACCTCCGCGCGTACGTCTCCGTATACGTCCGGAGGGGCGTAGCTTATAGTTAAAACTCTTTGAAACAACAACCATCCAATGGCAAACGGTATTCGAGTTTTTTTTTGTTCGGAAGAGAGGACGAGAAGCGGTTCGTTTCCTGGTGAAGGAAGGAAACATTGTCAACCGATTAGGGATAACAAGGTTATGACGAAAATGTTGCAATGATGCGTGGAATTTCATTCGGAATGAGAAGAGGTAGAATAGGTGAGGATGAGGATAAATTAGAAAAAAGGCCCATTTAACTGATTAATGTGAGGGGGTGACCACATCATCGGAACGGGAGGGAAGAAGGCACGATGAGTTTTTTTGTGGATCTGATGAATAAAAAAGTAGGTGTTTGAGACTTTCGACGGTTTGATCTATGAATTAGTATGAAATCCCAAATCGAATTAGTTCTGATCCTGAAGGTTCGATATCTAAAAGTGTTCAGTGTATCGAACTTTAGTGTAGTTTAGGAAAACGGAAATTTACTATTTTACTTTTTTCAAGTTTCACAGAATAAAGGAAACATCGTCTGCTCTTCTGGAATCGGAAGTTTCGGGTCTTGACAGGGAAAAACCTTCCAACTTGAATCTTATTAATTAAGTTCTTAAGAACTTTTGACAACCTGATCAGGTCACTCGAGTTTTAAATTTTTAACTCCAGAATTTGAAAAGTCCGGAGTTTTCGGATAACTGGATTTTCCGAACTTTCGGATTTCTGGAATTTCAGAATTTTTGAATGCATTTCTGAATTTCTTGAAAAATTCGAATTTTTATAGTTTCCGAATTTCATATTCTTTGACTTTACGAATTTTGGGAATTTCTGCATTTTCGAAAATTTTAGTTTGTCA